ATAACGAAAGAGAGTTACTGTCGTATACGTATTACGTACAAATATCTTTTAATGTTTACACTGTAAATGGTACGTAGTATTTATTAATGGATAAACGGTCGAGACAGACTCCATCCATGACATAGAAATGTTTAGTCTTACTCGGTATATTGATTCAATTGTTCATATTTCATCGGAAGTCCATGCCACTCTAATTTAAACGAGGTATAAATACTTGCGCTTTCGGCCACGTTTTAAAAATACAAGTTAATATTTACTATTTATAAGCTGGTAGTTCTACTAATTTGCAGTTCCGCTTTCCAAAAACTTGATAGGAGGTAAGTAATTCTGCATTTTGTCCAAGCTGTGTTGCAAGTGAATAAGGTGAAAGAGATTGGACAATCCTACGTAACGATTCACATGTGATATAATTCACGATTTATATTGAATATTATATTGACACATTCCATAAGAATAAAGGCTTTTTCGACAAGATATTTACTGTATATAGATACCATTATTTCTAAAAACTTGATAGAGAGTAATTCTGCATTTTTTTCAAGCTGTGTTGTAAGGCGATTAGGTGAAAGTGGAGAAATCAAACGATCCTAAGTAACGATTCACATGTGATATAACGCACGATTTATATTGAATAAAAATGATCGAGATTTGTTATCATCTAATGAATTTGGTGAATAGTGCAATTTTATAATAAATGACCAAGATTGTTTAAGTAAAAGCAAAAAATATTCGACATTCAAAGTTGTTCTATAAAATTTTTATTTGATTAATTTCCGAGAAATTGTTAGGACGTCATTGTACACAAACAGTAAAGTCATGGGAATATGAAACATCACTCTGTCAAAAATATCCCATTATAAACTTTTTATGTTGACAGAAAAATGATAAAAAGGGCAAATTTTATAAAATTTACTGTTCACAAACACGTAAAAATACTAATAATTTATGTCTGAAGAAGCAGATACTTTAATGAACCATGCTTGATAGTAGGTTGATTATCATTTTATTATACAATAACAGCAGAGGATTAATTAGGTGAATGACGTAGGAAAGCATCATAATGCTTTCTGTAAAAATGGGTTATTTCAGACAATGACGCTACCTCACTATTATAATGGTCGGTATACAGTTACACATACGACAGCATTGGCGATAATAAAGCAAGATAAACAACGCGTAACAAAATAAATGTTACGCAGCGGTTTCCGCCGGATACTCGTTTACCCAATTTGTTTGCTTTAGAGAAAAACAAGTTTGTTGGATTTGTGCCTTCTGGTGAAATTCACGTCTTACAAACTATGTTTGAAATATGTCGCAATAACAATAAAAGGGGGATTACCCACCCGCACTCCCTGTTTGATTTTCGTGAATATGAGTTTTTATGTTCCTATTGATTTATCTATTGGTAAAATGACAACCAAACCGAAGTTAAAGTTTAATCTGATCACTTCTCACGTGAAACATATTATTGTACATCAAGTAATCAACCTCGATTCCACGAAGTGTTTATTTGACGTCAAACCTCAACACAACAAACTGATTTAATCGAGTGTTCCGACCGCATGAAATTTTGATATCAAACTTAATTCAAGAACCATATTAGGATTTGAACATTGATCAATCAATAATATGGGTACCACCAGTCTACGTCTGAGTGAAGTTGTGTGAGACATGATTTCATCCAAAGGGTCAGCAGGCGAGACTTAACAATGTTCCACATCACTAAACAGTCCCAAAACGTCCGATTAGTGAGTGACGCGACCCAATAAAGTAACTTTACTGACGAGTTGTCACTGAGTGACCTCTACAAGTACGAAAGCCAAAATCCCGGAAACGTTTTACACCAAATTTAGTTGACCCTTTCTCCTTACTGCTGCCCTGTCAGCGATACTGAGTTCAGTAAACATCTACCTTTGTTTTATCTTTAACGGGCTTTACTGCCATGTTATAGAAAAACTTGTGTAAAATTTGCGTGGTACAGCGTTGGAAAGGTTTATTACTGCGACTACTCCCGGGAATTATTAAACGGGACTTAGAAATGAACCAATGTTTCGTAATACACATAATATATATACCAGGCCTAACCCAGAGTTGCTGCCTGTAACTCGGCTATTTTTCGAGTTATGATGAGAATAGAATATTATAAATTTGTATAGAGCTTCTCCGTTTTTGAAGATGGTGGCCAAAAGTCTAGATTTAGAGAGTAAAGTTGATGGCTGAAATTTTGCGACAGAAAATTTCTTTTGAAACGTAATTACATAACCGTAACTATAACCAATAATATGTTGATAGGTATTTTGTAACAGTTATTCGTGTTAGCACGTAGTTTGGCAACAATCCGTCTTCATAAATTTTAGACATGTGTCGAAATGACCGAATTCCACAAAAGCACTAAATCATAAGAATTTGAATCATAGTAAAGCTCCACCGAAAATCTATCAGATATTTTTTATATTACGTCATCGAAACGAATTACAATAATGATTACCATACAAGTTTCAATCCTTCCCCGTGTAGTTTTTTATTCCGTCATGCGATACGTCACGAGAACACGTGACGCCACTCAAATGTTTGCTTCAGGAACATGTTTGCCATGTCAACACAAACTTTTCCAATGGGTGCTTGTTAGGTAAATACGCTAATGAAGGTATTTGTGTGAGTGCTGTTTTTCATGGTAACCCTCGTTGAATAAACTAACACCTAAAAGTAAAAACACTGGGAAACTGTTATAAGATGCTGAAGGTTTATATACAATATAATTTATTATGACTCAAAAGTTCGAGATTAAGCAAAGTTATTATATACCAAAGCTGAAAAAAAAATTCAAGAAAATTCAAAGATAAAAATAAAAATCGAACTAGATCACTATTTCATAAGCATTTTAAATATATCATTCCACTGTCATAATTATTGTATTACCTGTAAAACGGGAAATTCAAATCAACAATTTTCGCGAACGAGCTCTGCTAAAACAGTTTAGAATAACTAAACGAATAGAATAAAATAGAGAGAATCAATTTTTAAATTTAAATAGATTAAATTTTTGTTAAAACAGTTACAAGATTAGCAAATTGTATTTTCCACTTTAAGAAGGTTTATTGTTATTGATGAGTTAATCAGTTAAAAAAGATACCACAGGTGCCAATGAGCGCCTTTTATCAACGGCTCTATATGTATTGGATTCTTGTTAGTAAGTAATAATGGGTAATTGCACCCTAAATCTGAATTCCATCCCAACCATTACAACAAACATGGCTGTGTAGTCCGGAATAACAAATGATTTTTTGTTCTCGTGCACCACTTAGCGGCAACGAATTCGACAAGTAATATTAGACATGGCATACTGCTTGGAGCAGTGATTCCCAAACTGAAGGTAATTATCCCTAAAGGAGTGAGTAACTTTTTTTTATGGAGTTATTAAATTACGTACACGATCTTAACAATTTATTTTGTAATTTCTTTCTTTTGTAATAGCTGGTATGGGGAAGAGCTGTAAGCGAAGAGTTTCCATCTAGTTAATGAAACTGAAAAGAAGGTTAAACATTATGACATCATAACAAGAAGTTGCAATTAAAACGACCTAACAGCTATGAAGATATCAATTCAATCACTGCACTCCAGTCTTTCAATTCCCAGTATTTGATTAAATTTTGATAGAAAAATTTGTAAATAATTTTGAAAGGATAATGAGAGCCGAAAAAAGAATAGTTGAGACCCACATTCGACTCTGAGAGCCGCGGTTATGAATCGCTGATTTATATGCAATAGTCACTGCTATAGAACAGTTCATTCCTGAAAATGAGGGACAACAGTTTTATTGGACACAAAATGAACCTATGGATAGTTTTGTTATTGGACACGAAATGGACATATATATCGTTTGTTCTTGTTTGTTATCATGTTAGTATTTTTGCTTCTAATTTTTTTTCTCCTTGTTGAGAAAAAAAAATCGTTTTTCTCATATTAACTACTACACCAATTGCTCTGAAATTTTCAATGAGTAACGATTGTACTTTCCTGTCGCCTCTATGTGATTCGTTCTTTATTTCGAAATTTTGTGTGATGATGAAATTATTACAAATTATTTATAGCGGCTCTTTGTGCTACTCTCTTGCTACGCGAACGTCATATGACTACAGTTCTGATATTCGTGAAAATGGTGACCGTACAGTTGAACCCACGTTCATTTGAACCCATGTATATACTGTATATCCGCGGGTTCAATCTGTATGCGGGTGCTAAAACCCATGGGTTAAGGTTAGTATGAGTTCAAATATCCGCAAAACAAAAAAAAATGTCCATAGGTGCAATAGTAATTATAGTATGCAGGTGCAATTGTCGTGGGTTCAAATGTACGGAAACCACGAAAAAAAGTAACAATATGTCACCTTCACTGAAGCCTCATTGTTCCAATGAAGTTGTTGGAGTTGCATTGTTTTCCATTTTGGACATACAAAGGGTGAGCGAACATTAGCCTCCAATGATTTTTATTGCACTTGAATGCAATATAAACAAGGATAAAAAAAATTGTCGGAAGCTGCTGTAGAAGAGCACAGCTATAAACGTTCCATCTTATTTATTTGAAAGGCCCGATGTCAAGCATACCTGCGGACAAACCAAATTTCTCTCAATACTTTCATGAATTGATTGTGACAAAAATAGACAATAAGAGGTGTAGAATGACATGGCCACAATGGCCATGTAACACAATGGCCAGAATGAACAATAGAGAGAATGACCAAATCAATGTTTGTTAACTTTGTAGGTATTGGAGGAGAAGTGTTAAAAATATAGAACCTTTTCAGACTGCTCATCACGATGTAGTGTTTATAAGCTCAAAAGTTTAAATCTCAAAACAATTGAATTTGATTAAAACTAATTAGTAAACAATTCCGCTATAATCATTACGTTGCTCACAATTAAAATACACTATAGTCGTCGTCTTTAACAGGATCAGGCTATTACCTATGTTACAATGAGGTAGACTTTAAAGTAGCAGGAGCTTAGGAATATTTTGGAGTAAATTTTTACAGTTATGCATAAGTTCATTTATGAAACAGACCCAGAACTTTATATTCAAAGTAACAGTATTTTTAGTAAGTTCACATACGCTATTCGCCGTCTTCTATATATATATTGTGAAAGCTTTAACCGATACAGGGTTACCATATATCGTGCTTATTTCAACGATTAGTGCTTATTTTCTAGCCCGCGTCTTATAAGGTAACATATGGGCTTATTTTTAGGAAAAGTGCTTTTTTTGAGTTACGAGGAACGATAGTTTTTTTATTATATGCAACGCATATTCACACTTCGCTGTGTTATTATTTTAACTACGTTCTGCCGTAACCTTTTACTGTTATAATTAAAAGTTAGTTTTGATTCTGTTAACGGTGGTAGGGTAGGGCAAACTGTGACACAGTTACAATAGTTGCTTCTATCCATGATTAAGACAAAGCGTAAGCACGAGTTCCGTTACGAATATGGAAAGGAATTTTCTAACGTCAAAGTCGAAAGGGTAAGGGCTATGCTCGCTGCTGCTATGTCTATAGCAATTTCCAATGACCAAAGACTGCTGAAGCAAATTGTTGGTAGCGATGAATATATATAATACATTTTATCTAAGTTTTGGCGCAGTAGTGTTAAGAAATTATGTGTTTATGTTATTCAATAATTGATAGTTATACTCACATTTTGGGTTAGGTAGTCTGCGCCTCTCATACAATAAACTCAGATGCCCTTTGCTTTGTTGTTCCCGTTAAAGATGTCGAATGCTGGAAGTATATTGTTTGTACCTTTCTTTGTGGCTTCTTACATTTTAGAGAGGTTGCGTGTGGCTGTGACTTCGGGGCTGCACGCAATCTTGTGCAAAGGGACTTCTAATAAACAAAACTTGTGTGGATAAAAATTGGAGTGCGGCAGAGACTAGTGTGTGGTTCTTTTTTCTGCGTTTTTGTTGCTGACAGGTACCCCAAAAATCTAACCCGTTGACACCCGTACTTAATTTTGGCTTTAGGTAGATGGTAACTTTGTATAGGATGGATGGAACGGAATTTCTTTGTAGCCATTGTGGCGTAACAAGCTAGAATTATGAATTATTACGTCAAATGTCATGCTGCGGTTAACCGGTTAATTTTACCCGGTCAACGTGTTTTCTCTGAAATTTCCAGCCCTACCACTCGTACATAGTAAAGCCTAAATTCTCCCTGCCTGCATTTCATTCACAATTTATTACATATTGGTATGGGATGCTGCGAATCGGTCTTGAATCCGAGAATTTTTAATTGCAACAGTCATTGTAAATAAAAAAAATTGTATTTAAAATAGAGCTTAATAGATTTTTTGCCCTCAAACTAGTTGTCGTTTTAGTACTGTACATATATTTATTTGATATGTCAGAAGACTGGAGAGAGTCAGGAACTGCTGAACGATATCTATGGACTCCAAAATATCCTTCTTCCATAGCAGAATTTGTTATAAGTCGTCTCCGGAAGATGAATTTATATAAAGACTCCAAAAAATTTGACCTAATCTTGGACGTTGGATGTGGCTACGGCGAATCTCTCAAATACTATGTCCCTTTCTTTCACAAAGCGATAGGATTCGATATCAGTGAAGAACAAATAGAAAAAGCTAGAGAATTGAACGAATTTAACAACGTGACTTTCTTACTTGGAAAAGGAAATATGTTCCCTGTTGATGATAACTCTGTAGATTTGATTGTTTGTGTAGGGACTGCGCATTATCTGGATGCAGCCCACTTTGTGACTGAATGTAAAAGAGTAATCAAAAAAGGTGGATTAGTTGCCATCTATTCGCACGAGTTTGCAGACTTACACATCGAGAATGTCGTCGATCGCGCCAGTCTTCCAGGATACAAAATATTGAACGAAAACTTTCTTAGCCCAATGCACAATGATTTCTTTAGTATGGACCACCCAGTTTGTGAATGGATAAACCGATACAGAGGTATTTATAACATGCCATCGAGCATGGACAAGCAGAGATCAGACAATTTAGCCCTCGATTATCATTTAAATTTGAGAGAATTGAAGAATATGTTTCTTTCAAGTCCCGTGTATAGAAATCATCACATTTCTTTTGATGAAGAATCGGCGCCATTGACTTTGATGGGTGAGAATTTAAAGGACCTCGCTAAAGTTAGTGGTTGCAAAGATGAAGATTTGAACCTGCGTTTGACATTATCTCTGTTCTTCGTTTTCCTCTATTGATATCCATTTTTGCACTTCGATCGACCTTGGAAAACGCTCGTATCGGTGTAGGGAATATTAGTCATTTGAACAGCAAAGAAAAAATGATGATTCAGATGGATCCCAACTGATCCAAAACCTTTTTCTAATTCGAACAAATCACTTACCTAACACTTTCGTACTAATCAGACCAAAACCTAAATTGTCCCTTCAGCAAAGTTATCACCAATGTAACACATCACTGTTAATTGGTTTACAGTAGCGTCGAAGTTTTATATAAGTCGTACGCTATTGTGACTAGGGCAGTGAAGGGAAGAGCATATAAAGCATATTATCCTACACTGATGAGGGCAGTGAAGAAGGGATCAGTACCGAGACGATACAATCAGTTATCCTACAGGTCCATCTGAATCATCATTTTTTCTATGCTGTTCATATTACCAGTATTCCCTATATCGGTATTAAATGTACTAAACGATATATTCGTAATTAGTTGAAATATTTTAGTATTTAGCTTATATTGAATTATATATATATAGGAATATTTGAATTATATTATTGAATTTTCTGAGATGTTTCAAATCACATGTCCAATTCAATAAACGTATGCGTTAGCTGTAAACTGCACAGAAATGTATCTGTATATATATACGACAAGACAACCTTGAAAATGTGAACGAAATTTTGCAGGCGACCAGTGCCAACGATGGGGAAATATATTTAAATATGGAAATTGCAGTATATTGGGTTATATATTCGGTATCCAGGCCGAATAGCGACTGTCATAATAGCGACGTGATCAAGTGAGCGACTGTCAAAACAGCGACCGTCATAATGGCGATCGCATTAAAACAGCGACTGTTATGATAGCGACTTAACTCGTGTTAGGGCTAGTCCAAATAAAATGTTGTTTTGAAGTCCCTTCAATCTTTTACTACGCAGTGTTTGCCTGTTTGTGCGTGCGTACGTGTGTAGAGAGGTGTGTGAGAAGGAAGTCGCTGTTTTTAATGAATCGCTATCGTGTAGTCAAAAGGTGCCCAACCCGCGGGCCGCCCAATAAATTTTGTAAGCAGACTTCATTTTTTACTATGTTATAAATAGGCCTAAGTATGTTTCGTGGTTTTGGTGTGATTATTCCCGCCATCTATCTACATCCGGATGCTGATTTTTATTATTACGTATTATCAGTGGCGTAGCAAGACTCTCGTGCCCCCCCCCCCCCGCAAAAATATTTCGTGGAAATGACCCTAAAAACTCTCGGACACAAGCTAAAACAAAGTTTTTTTTATTCCGTCAAAAAGCATAACATGTCGCTATAAAAAGGCTATGGTAACCTAAAATTTGCGCTTCCGTGTTAGCAACTCATCCACCCACTTCGTCATATCAATTTGCTTCAAAAATCAGTAGCTTACCCGTGATAATTGTCGTGTAAGTTTTGGAAGAAAATTTATTCGCGCCGGCGCCATCACTTATGGAGATTGAACACGCATCTGGTTTTCTACCGATACCACCGGTGCTAGGCTTAGTTCCTCCTCAGTTACGTTCGGTATTCCCAAGTCTAATTGTTTCATAATTGGTTTAAATATTTCGTTTATCTTGGTTACTTTAATTTTTTTCATACATTCAATCTCTTCTGCGCTTTATTCTTCTTTTTTGTTCGCCACTAAGAGGTTTTGCTTTCGACATCAATCTGACAGCCTTCGTAATTGTGCCGGTGGCCGGTGCGATCAAACCACACGACGCCGAAAATCGACGACTCCGGCATTGTTACGTAACAAAACGATTTGAGCAAAACTAACATCGACATTATAAGACGTGCATTACTGCTTTTGCAATGCAGCTTTTGGTTTTGCGGCTTAAATTTCTAAATTTTAACCGCTTGGGGCCCCTTTTCGCTGTGGGTCCCCCCGCGACCGCGGGGGTGGATGCTACACCACTGCGTAGTATGTGTCAAGTCTTGGGCCCTGGTGGACATCGACGTTCTTTTTTTTGCAGAACTGTGCGTTCTGTTCGACGAACTCGAAAGATGTTGTGCGATCATAGGCGACGAACGCTGAGCGCAATTATAGGGATGAATTTGGAACCTAAATTTTCAAGTTAGTTTCATTTTGATTGCTTTTTTCGTGTAGGCTTTGATTGTCTTTACCGCCAACGTAAAATAAATAGTCAACAATAATCTTTGCTGCTGGCCCCGGGACCCGTTTTTCTTTTCTGTTTGTATTTTTGTTTATGTTATGTTTGCGTTTAATAAAATGCCGGAAATATCGTCACTGCGTATCCGTCAATTATTCTGATAAAATTGACTTAATGGTAGTTCTACATATTAAAATTATTATATATATTCGTCCAAAAGTTATTGTAATGTTTTTTTCATTAAATACTTGTATTGATGTTCCGAATTTCACGAAACGGCCCACTAAAACTTGATGTTCCCGCGACAATGGCGCACATAACGCTCATTGAGACAATATCATAGCCACTGAAAAAAAATAAATAAAAAACACCATGACTCAAATATAAGACTCAATTTTTACTTCTTTGTTTTTTAGTAACTCTGTGCAGATTCTCGTGTGGTCGTCAGAAATTCACAAGTGCGTTGTGTAATGATTGATTTTGAGATTCAGCGGCCCGCGAGTGTCATGTCCACGCCTTGTGTTACCAGATATTTGAATATTGAACTGCTATTCAAATATTCGACTTCAGGTTCGAATATTTCGCATACCATGCAGTAAATAAATATTAACGCGATTGGTTTTATGTTAATAATCTTGCCTTTTATGTATTGTGTAAATTCTAACGAAATCAGGACTTGGTTGGTATTAAAGTTTGGTAAAAACGTTTGCGGCCCGCAACGAATTTCCTTATGTGAAAGTGGCCCGCGAAATGAAAAAGGTTGGGCAGGCCTGGTGTAGTCGCTTTATTGACAGCCGCTGTTTTCAATTAATTGCTGTCGTGTGGTCGCTCTATTGACAGTCGCTATTTGGAACCCTAGCCGTATATTCGCACTAGTAATAAGCAGGCCTGGAGCCGTAACATATTTTCGAAGCTGGAGGCAAGCTCAGTATATTAGACAGAATAGGATGCACTTGCTATCAGAAAGTTTAGTGGTTTCGGTTCTAAACCGTCCGATTATTTTTTCACGTTTATAGTCTACTAATTTTCAATCAAACAATAAAATCTATCCTTTTAAGATTTTTGTCAAGTTTAATCTCAATATTACTCAAACTTCAAATTAAATTTAAAAGTTTAGAGTTCAATTTTAGGTCGTTTCCATGGTTACAATACTGACGGTGCTCGGAGTCTAGTGTTGTACGTATTTGGTTTGAATTTTGCTGTCTTTTTTTTTCTCATGATATAATGTTTGACTTCTTTCTCTCTCCTGTTTATATTTCTGTTAGATTAATTCATGGGTGTCGCTGCTCATTAACCAGTTTTGGTTTTTCGCGATTCCTTTCGCCCTGAAATGCCGTATTTAAATTCCTTTTTTATATTTATTTGCATGAAGTGTTTTTTTCTGTTTGGTGAAAAAATAAATTACTGATTACTGATTCAATTTTAGGTAAAAACCGGAGCTTCGGAGCCATTGGGATATCAAACCAGCTCTCCAGCCCCACCAATCAGTGAATCGTGAACTGGAAAGTACAAAGCAAGCACAAAAACAATAAACGGAAAGAATTTTGCTTTTATCTGAGAAGGGAACCAATTAGGTATAATGGCCGTTCGACTTCCTTGCATCTCAGATGAGGTAGTGAACTGTAGGCCGATCAGTGGATTAACCTGAGCCTATACAAGTCCTCTGACCGGCTCTAACCATAGCCTAGGAGGATACCTTCAAGGAAAAATCATTCAAAATATATAAAATGTATTTAAAAATAAAAACAGTGCTATATCTGAATTACAATTTACATAAGTCTGATACCATTCCTAAAACCCTATTTTGTCACTTCCCTCAAGTTAATCAGATGGTGATACTGTGGGCATAACAGGTAACAAAGGCCTCAAACACTGTAAAGAAGGACTTGGCGATGTTGATGAATCAAATACAATTTAAATTCCTTATGTTTTAAGGTCTTTGTTGTGTGCAATAATTTTAGTTGTCGTTCGACTCCAGTGAGATGCAGGTGAAGAAGATTGTGAGTATTGAGCTTCTTTCTTACTCATAAGCATTGTTTCCTTCAAGTTGAGAACAATATTAAGTTGTTTGTGAAGATTGTGCCATCTCGATGCAAGAATAGATGTACGAGCAGCTTGTTTCTGCATTCGCTGAGTAAGAAGATTCTGAATCACATCATTGAATTTTGTTGGCTTGTCATACTGTTCCTCTTCTTGTGATGCACGGATTTTGTCCAGAGTTGGGAAACTTCGAAGATGAAACAAAAATATGTCATTGTCATTTGATAACAATTTACTTCCCCTTACATGCAAAACTTCACCGTTTGGATCCAGCAAAATGCCTGTTTCAAAAGGATTTTCAAATTTGTAATCTACTGGTAAAGAAAGGTTGCAATAGATCTCATCTCTATCAGTGCTCCTTAATAACATGTTTCCATCTTGCAAAACTATTAAAAATACTTGCGATAGATTGGGTATAGGTTTGATTAGGGCGAAGGAATTCTCTTGAGTTGAAGCTGCAGGAACAACTATCAGCGGCTTTTTTTCTTTTTCGCAGCATATTTTTGAAATTTGACCATTAGCACAACCAACCAACAATTGTACATTTTCTGCCATGTGTTGATTATTATTTACACCATTATCCATCATGTTTAAAAAGCTAATCCTGGTGATTGCAACAGTGTTGCAGATTGAGACAACATGTTTCACAAGTCCCATATTTCTATCCCAAAGTGTCAAAGAGCCCTTTTCGACGCCTATGGCCAGAAGCATGGTTGAGTTAGCCAAAACACAGCAGGTAATATTTGAAGATTGTGGCCAAACACTATCAGGTCTAAACTCAATATTTTTTCCTCCTTTGTTTAACTGGTAGATGTAGAAATTATGATGATGTGAAAACCAAATTCCTACATGAGTGTAAATGGAATCAACCTTGCCTTGTATACTCGGTTCCATACAACTTTTTTTCAGAAAATAAAATGAGGGATAATTGGTTTCAGTAACGATTTCATCTTCGGAAAACATCAAGTCTCTTTCATTAAGATGAGCAAATAATTTTTCTTGGATAACAAATGAAGTATCGGTGACACCATGGAATGTCCCATCACCTATAACATCACCAGAATTTATTTGGTCCAGCATTTGCTGAGCTGTTTTCGCGTTTGTCCCTTTAATAGGTAGTGGTTGGTTGACTTTCAAAACCAGACTCAGTGGTGAATATTTTATTTCTGGAAATGCCAATTCAGAAGAAGACTCTTTTGTGAGATCATTTTCCACAGACATATCACTTGTAGATGTTGCTGTCATTGATTCTACTTTCTTTAAATATTCCTTTCTTCCGGTTTCTATTTCTTTTGTCCAGTTTTCTATTGGTATTTTATAAAATTCAATCCAGCAAACTTTCTCAGACTCCAAAGCCACAGAGCAGTATTGACCATCAGCAGATATTTCAAATTTTGTTGCATTTGATTTGGGTGAGCCTTCAAGAAGTTCATTCAGAATAGCAACAAAGTGGAAAGTGTCATTTTCCAAAACAAGTAATCGAGCAAAGCCCATATCATCTATAATGGCAAGCAAATACAAATCACTAGTTTGATGATAACTACACATGATTCTATCAACACAAATTCCCTCTTCCGGCGACCAAGAACAAATCATTTCTAGTGTGTCATTATTGATGACAACCAAAGAATTTTCAAGGCCAAGAAAAAGTAAGTTGCTGTCAGTGCTACACATACAAGATACATTTTGAAATTTTTCAAATGCTGATGATGGTGTATATGTTGGTGGACGCACCCTTTTTGCCTCCAATTCCCGTTCAATTTCGAGCGCTGAAATGTTGTCCCATGATGCTTCGAATATTTCATTTACAATTTTATTAATCAATCTGAAAGGTTGCGGAAGTTCGTCAAAAATTTTTTCGGGATCGGTTATGAAATTATCTTCATCGTCTGATCCCACACTACTGATTGTTGGAGTTGGAATGTCCTGCTGTCTTGCTCGAATGTAAAACGGCATCCTCTTCAAATATGTGATCAAATAATAATGAGATATATAATTTGATTATATTGCTTTATTATTAATTACAAGCCATTCACTTCCATAACCTGACAGAAATATAAAAAAATTGATAATTAAAATAAATGGAAGAGTGCATTCAATGTTCAATGGCGTACCAGATAGAAACCAACCAGCTCATCAAGTCAATGCATCTCCAACAAATAACTGGTCAACTATTCGTAGACCTAAACCATGCCATATAATCATGATAAAGACATCTTTCTGTCTTGTCATGAATATCACATCAAATCCTATATAACTAACTTTTTTGCTCGCAGCGCACTGAGCAAATAAAAAAAATTAGGGCACACTTGTAGGATATGATAGGATTTGTAAAAAAAAGTTAGTTTCAAATAAATTTATTCTGCAAATGTTAATGCGATGTGTGTGTCTGTTTTGAGAAACAAATAAATGAAATTCCGTCCCCCTCTTTTTTGCTTTTAATTTCATTCAGAGCGGAAATTCCCAACTGCATCTATTGCTTATTTCAGTGATTACAGGCACACTACAAAATTATCGGCTAAATCGTATAAAAACAACAACTACAGAATATTTACCGGTATATAGCCTACGCTTTGTTGCATACCGGTACCAAACAAAATTGATACAAGCTTCCCAGCATGGACCTAGGTGATAAAATCAACTACTGATTACCTAGTCCTAGGCTGTTGCGTTATGTGTATACGCTTTGGGCTGTTGCAATTAAACCATGGTGATGACATTTAACCCCGTCACAAGAGGGAGATGCTGCTACACGAAAAAATAAAATATAACCGTAAATATATACTACTGCACTATTTGGTTTTCGGGATACGGTCTGAGGATTTAGTTTGTGCGTATCTAGTTCCTTCGAAATATTTAACTCGGTAATAAGTTGCCATATCACGATATTCGATTTTAATCTTTCAAATACATTATAATTCACAGCCATAATCAATCTCTCGTTACACTATATCAGAATGCAAGCCATTTGAATGACTATCATGAACATGAGCCACAATTTCTACATATCGATCAGGCTATGAATAATTTTTTATAATCAATCACAAGTTTATCTGAATGAGACATTTGGCAAGCATTTCAAAAGACATTTGCAGCTCGTTATATAACGCCATTTTTCGTTGAGACAGACACCATTCGGATTATTGCGGCCAATTCAAACGAAATCGAAAGTAACTCAATACCCCTGTACTTTTGACACCACTTTCGTCTTCTAGATGTCAATATTTTATACCTTTGCTGGTGTGGGTCTGGTGGTTTTACAGATTTTATAGTAAACCTCTTTTCGACGGATTAATGTCATCATGTCATGTAATACATCAAAAACACAGCATGAGATATATTATATATAACATAGAAAACCCGGAAATAAAGTTGACGAACTTGTTGCATAAGTTTGACATCCGAGCACTAGATGAATATATGATATAAAATATTCATATGGCACTAAAGTTTGTTCACAGCTATTACATGGACATCGACGAAAGTACATCCCCCATATTTGAATTTATTCGATTCACGGTTAGTTGGAGTGTCAAGCTGATGCTATCTTGAATAGTCTCGCATACAAATCTGCTGTGGTATAAGTCAGGCATTTATTTTTTAAGAAAATATATCGAATTGCAAAATCACGAAATGTTGAACAATAGCATTTTGGTTTAGTATAAAGATACGGTCAATATATATTATAGACATTTTACAGGGCCGGGGTATGATTGTTTTACGTACTCCTGCATATCACTTATAAATTTGTTTTCGCGTTGTTACAGAATAGAAATAAATCAAATAGACTGCTTTCTAAACAATATTTCATTATTAATGATTCTGCAATCACAATGCCAATAGAAATTGTAGTATGAAGGCCTGATTATACACAATCCGACGGTTGTGGCCAAAGTTTTGTGTTTTTCAAAATGAACCATCACACACTTTTTTTGAACTCACGTTAGCGTACAAATAACCATTGCGTGGCAAGAATTTTCCAAAGCATGGAATTGGCAATTTTATTTTTGTATGAATCTGTATTATCAGAACATCTAATAAATCTCAATTAACTACTAAGTTGACTAACTACAATTAAATAAGAAAATAATAAAATTTATTAACAATCATATAACGCATCATATAGATATAATGTCATTGACTCAAAATTACAAAGGAGAAGAGGTAATTTATTTTTAACAAGATCATTGCAATCGTGTGAGGTGGCATTGACTTCTTATGACATTGCATGTACTGTACAAAAATATGAAGAACACGGAATGGGGCGGCGGGGTAGCCCAGCGATCAAAACGTTCAACTTTGCTGTGTTGGCATTGCAGTATACATAGGGTTACCATATTTTTTGGACCTCAAAGCAGGACGCCTCCAAAGACACGACCTCTTAGCTGTGATCCTGTAACTTTATAGTTTCCGATTTTACTACATATAGGCCTACATTCAAAGTCATTCCGACTATCTTCACTGACCATATTGTCATCGAGAGTTCATGCGCATATTCTCTGTCTAAATATCGGGTTCAGTTCGAAAAATAGAAAGGAATAGACGTTAACGATACAAATGATCCGAATTTAGATTTTTTTATGTACAGCAAAAGGAATAAAGAATAATGAAATAGACTGCCGTTTTCAAGCATTGAGAATTTACTTATTCCTTAAGCATGCTTTTCTGTAGATAACACCTTCAAAAAGACGTTGCTCAAAAAATGTTGCTCAATGTTAAATTCACGTGAATGTCCGAACAGGACCAATTAGAATTGATTTTACATGTGATACGTTCGCTAACAATGTTAGCGGGAAACAACGAAACAAACAAAATTACGCATTCACCTTCAGTAAGTAGGCTAGCGTTGTGATACACAGTAACAACATTAACAAGAACATGTTCGTGCATTATGCTGGATGGCTGAACGCAAAAGCGTGATATTTGACTGACTTGTCGGGACGGCGGGACAAGACGCTAAAAAGTGGGACTGTCCCGCCTAAAGCGGGAAGTATGGTAAGCCCAAGTATACACATCTTGGATACAAATCCTATGCCCCCACCTCACCCAGGGTGTAATGTAAAAAATTAGGTAGGCAATGCAGAACCGAAAAAATTTCGGTCCTTCCTAATAATAGTAATTCCTTTCATTTCGTTGGCTATCAGTATCAGCTTGTACATGGCCTTGGTTCGAGCAAAAGTCCAACTAAAAGTTTGATAAAAATTTATCAGTGGCTGCTTGTCCCCAAATATATTATTAACGTTTCCATCAACTTGCAGTGTATGATTAACTTTAGATATTGTGGCCCAGGTGGAATAGCCTACTTGACAATTATCGACAAAAATCATTTGGCCTTGACAGCTGTGAAGTTCATTGTCAGAGCTTTCTAATCCCGAGAGAAAAAAATTTAACCTTGTGTGAAATCTTTACTCAGCTGTCATCGAAGCAAAAACTAAACGGTATTTCCGCGATTTTCCGTAAATTATACGATTATTCCACATTAGCTGCTATTCCTAGCTTAATTATTCACGAGGGAACTAAGGTAATTGCACGGTAGAATTGCGTCTAACGATTGACAGGCAGTCTCTCTCATGTTCAAATATGTAAAGCGGCCTACTGTAGACGTTAGTAATGTTTTTGCATATATTCTTTATTTATGGAACTTTCTTAGTTATTGTTTGTATCTGCATGACTTGTGATTAAAAGGGCCTATTATTTCAGAGGCAAAATTGTGTTTCAGTCCAGCATTTAAGACGCGAGAAACGAATTAACTTTATGCATTATAAAAGCGCCAATAATCTATTCAATTGCGTTCTGTGCCAATGGCATCATTTAATTTATAAAAAAAAAATGCAGTAGAGATAGGGAATAATGTTCTGAAAAGAAGGCCGGCATAGCCCACTCTATTTGCATACAAGTGAAAATTAGGCATGGTCCAGTTACACAATGCAGGTAAAACACTTGCATATGTATGCATAAGATGTAAACAACAATTATTTTAACCCGGACAAATAATTGCAAATCTGTTTTCATTGATTACATCCATTCTTACGTGATGTAAAATATTGAAGATTTCATCTTACAGGAAGGTTTCCGGAGTTAGATCTCTGTTAGCAGACTCATTTCACCCCCAGGGAAATTCATTATGAAAAACCGAAAAGATTCCGCTCGTTTAATGACATTACTTTTGGCCATTAAAAGACTGCTTGCCTACATCATTATTCGCCTTTCTGAGTGAAAATAACAGAATCAATAAATTAGCCCATTGAATGTCAAAATGTATTTTATTCATTTTTGTATTTTTACCTTTAACGTTGCGCCATTTAGTTAATTAACTGACGCACATTACAGCCAATCGCTTGACTTGGGTCCCAGAATATACGCACCGGAAAAAAAGATCAGTTTTATAAAGGTCATCCGTACATCTCGTGAAAGCAAGTAAACTAAAATATTGAAGATTTTATAAATTTAAATATGTAAGCTCAGCCGGACCCATTCGCGCATCAACTATTTAGAATGCTCATGAATTTTTCACGTCCGTCGCCCGATTGAAATGCGTTCAATGGAGCGGAAATCGATTTTGCACTCTTCTGTCTGACACAAACGAAAGGAAAATGCAATATTTTGCGTGATATGACAACGCGGTTTTTATTAAATAATGATGCAAAATGAAGGTTTTAAAAAGCATGTATGCATTTGCCTGCACAGAGAACGGCATGGAATTCAAGGGACACGTTATTTTACAATGGCGATAATTAAAACACCAAATTATTGACGGACGATTTTCATTTTAGCATGTTCAAAGAAAAGGCAGCGAAACTTCGTTTAAAACCACAGAGTTACGGTTGTGGAATACCTACACTCTGGAAGCTACATGTTAATGAATCCACGCCATATCAATCTGATCTCCAAACGATCTTCATTAATAAATCAGTTTTCATTTCATTTCGTTACCTTTTATATTCAAGTTATCAGGAAATTCCATCTATCTTCCCCATTTTTCGCTTGTCGCTATTCGACAGGCATATTCTTGCATAAATTCGGTAATGTATGACTATATTTTAGTAGAATTTGGAATCTAAATAAGGATGCTATTATCAGTATGCATATTCGTAACGGACACTCTTGTCATATTATAATATATATATATATATATACATTACGAGATTCGCCCAACCTATGCCAGTTTTCTATAGCGTGTTTGAACCAAGCATTGAGAAAAGGAAATATGTTTTATTGACTCCTACGGAATTTCGCAGTCACGCATACTCCGTAGCCCATAACTTATTAAATATGTTCGAATTCCCAAATTTGCATTACAGTCGTTTACACGCCACCAGACTCAACCTTAAATAACAATAATAAAAGGCAATTTATGTAACCGTGCAAATTAAATTCTTAAAGCAGTCTAACTCCCAAGTGGCGTCCAATTTTGGAATAAATTAGTTCTTCGATATAATAATCAGTCGACTCCGTAACCATTGAGACTCATGCATCATGCTATGGGGGTAACAATACATTCTCTTGGACTGTCACATATAACGACCATAATATAAGATAGAATTGATTCATCACGGCGTTCACCATACATAGTGGAGTCGCATCTTTATTAGTCATCTTATAACTCTCCAGTTTCTCCATACGTTCCCTGCAGAAGAGCATAGAATCCGTATACTAATTGTACAAGAAGCATATGGATGAAAATACTTTTCAAAGTGGAATAAAGTTCAGTTACTTTTATTTACTCATTGAGTCCGCCTCGAAATACGCGGTTCTGCTAGAATATTAGAAAATGTCCGTGCATTTGAAAAGACCACCCGTCCCAAAGCAGAAACAAGTATAATCAAAGAATATTTCGAGATTTTTTTATTTTTGAAATTGTACAAATAAAGTAGATTGGTGGTGCAGCAACTAGGATAGCATAGCAAAAAACAAAAATACAATAACCTCCTTAAATTATTACTTCCGCTTCAATAGACGACGTAGAAAAGAGGTCATTTAGAATGAGTAAATTGGTACCGCAATGGAAACAGACATAAAATAGTCAAGGAGATAAAAGCATGAATCAACTGATTTCCGCGCTTAATTTAATTGACACTGACAAGTTCCCTTGATTGTTTCCACACTCATGTCAAACATAAATAAAAATAACAATGGCAGACATTGCAGTTTGATTTGGAAGTAATGAATGTAAATTCTAAACGACAGAAATAAAGACCACGACAGAGTTGTATGTAAGCCAGAATGGCTTTTAAGTCCTGGTTTAAGTAAATAAAAAAAGCATGATCAATCTTGTAGAATAAATCACAAGCGTTGTAAACAGCGGCAATAGCTCGGTTGCTTCGAATTAATAATTTCCGACGGGCTCAGTCTTCAAAAAGTGAGCCCATTCAAAACGTTGTACAATATTACGAAAAGGTAGTTAAAGTAGCAAGCCTAATCGAAAATCATAAACTGAAGATATGCACAGAAGCATCTCTGAGATTCGGCATATTATAAGAACCATAACGTATCACATACACTGTTTTTGAAGTATATGGATCAATTGCTGTTTTCATTTACAACAAATTTCTTAAGATCAATGTTTATTACTGACAGTTTACGCGGAAAGGAAACTATGGTTATTGAATCGTGGATCGACAGAAGAGTATCATTTTATTACACAAGAATTTCTAAATCATAAGGACGTAGAAGAATTCCTCAACCGGACATATTGTCGCACCGCATTGATGGTAATAACACTTTGAATGAAATTAAAGCGATTAATTGGCCGTAAATATACGCCAATTACTTAAGGTTGAAATGTGGAGTCAATTGCCTTGTAAAACGTGCTATAGCAAATACATTATTCATTATATATATATATATACATGATGAAAAAAACTATAAAAAAATAAAAATAAAAGGTGGACAACCAATCCATGTGAAGAATTTGGAAATATTTACTTTGGTGTTTTGTTGTTTGCTTGCCTTGGTTTTACAAATTGGTTTCCTATTTACATAAATAAAATGCTCAGCCCACTTAGACAATATTACACAATATAGATGTAAATAAAAATAACAAAAAACAAACTTTCATTTAATAGTTATTAGAGAAAGACATTTCTCCAAAATATATTTGAAATTATGACCAGAGAAAACTGATATTGATAATAGCAACAAATGCATATTTAAAATTCAAAAGAATAAAAGTTGTGAAATAACATTTAAAGCAAGCACACATTTCATTGCAATAAAACTACAAAATTATAGCACTATAAAAAGTGTTGGAGTTAGGACAAATTTTAGTGAGGCATCAACAACTTCACCGTGATTTAATACAATATTAAAGTTAATATCTACCTCAACACATAACATAAAACAGACCTCCTGAATTAAGCGCACAACCTGAACTCAGGTTGTGTACCAGTTTATGGTTCAGGTTGTGCGACATCTTGGTGCGCATACTTCAGGAGTACCCATAAAACTCTGTTGTGTTCATTGCGTGTGTTACATTTCAAGTAATATGATGGCTCATTAAATTTCAGATCAATAAGAATGTTTCACATTATTAAAGTATTTTTCGGCATGCTTTTATTTTATATCAAAACCACATTCATTTGAAACTATTTTGAAAACGAAACGTCTTGTTATTGCGTAAATATCAAATTTTATTGCCCTGCAATTATGACATTCGAACAAAAAATTAAATCTCTGTATTAGAATTTATATGAAAATATGCATCTGTATTAAATACATTCAGTTTTACATGTTTCCTCCTTTTATGCATTAAATACCAAGAATATACACCAAAAGATGTAATCACGCAGGCAGCAATTGGAAATTTAGATTCCCAGCTTATCAATTTCTTAAATTATTCTCTTCAGCTTAAACTAACCCACTGAATTTTAATAGAAAGAGGTCCAATCCCAATCCAACGATATTCATTATTCAGACGTCAATACGGTAATACAAGACTGAATGAATTAGGCAGTAATACATCATCATATAGGAATAATTTAACACAAATTTATAAAAGATAGGCTGCATGATTGTCACCTATAGGTATATATTACATTAATTATTCAGTAACTATTCAGTATCAATGGCGCTGGAGTATTGTATATCGGTTCACCACAATATATCAAGTATGGAGCTTACTGCATGGTATCTGTGGGTATACTTGATTGTGAGTAAATATTCTGTGATAATTTTATACGCCATATCACATATCCTATTACTAGATTCTGACATGGTTTCACTGTGATTATTGGAGTCTAGACATTATGATTAAAGTATAATGAAGATTAGGGTATTTTATAATGCTCATAAAAATTGCAGAATCAGAATTAAAACCTGTTCTGAATATATGATATATATATATTTATTATGTGCGAGCACATCTCTAACAAATAACATGATAATTATATACTATGTTTTGTGCAAATTATTTGAACATAATTAATTAAGAAGTAAATGAGCAAAAAAAAAAAAACATTGGTAATATAATGATATCAATACAATGATAAACTGGTAGGTATGGTTTTTTAAATTCCCATATGACATGGGGCTGAACCTAAGCCATAGAAGAAATCAATAGTACTCTATAACAAATCAATAAACATTTGAGCATATTGATTATGAGTGAGAAATTATGTTATTTTTATAGTATGTGGTCTTCTTTTCTATTACACCTAACATGGATTTGGAATGTATGTGTATGACTCTTTATATTTGTAGTATACCATACCATATAATTTTATAGGTTGTAAAAAAGCAAACATAGTATGGCGGACCGACATGCTTTTAACATGACCTTACATTCAAGATGTTTAATCACTCATTGTATATTCTGTCTCAAAATTTATGAGAGGCATTATTACATCACTATATTTTTATTTCTGAGTCAATTGCATCTTTCCCAACTTCGAAGCAGACCTTCTTCCATTTCCACTTGAGTGTATAAGAAGCAGCAGATTAAAAACCAGGTATAATATCATAAGCTTGTAAAGCAGAAAGCATGATATATGTCAACCACAGAGTGAAAAAAAATAAGGCTGAAATATATCTTGCTGGCATTGGTCCGCCGAGTTCAGTTTTTCCAGAACATGATGTCAGTCTACGGATTATTAATGTCAGAGTACATAAAACAGCACAGATGGAGTAGATAGCTATGCTGAATCCCAGGTTTCCAGATTCAATGGGAAAGGGACTGTTGTATTTCACTTTCCAATATATAGCAGCTATAAGCCACGGAAGACCAAGCCCAAGAAACACATTTACACTGTTGCTTCCAGTTACATTTCCAATGCTATTGTCTGCATATTTTTCTTGTATTGCCGCTGTCTTGCTTGCAAAGAGATCAGGTAATGATGTACCAAGAGCTACAAATGTAATTGCTGTTACGCTCGGTTTAAGACTGATGAGACATCCAAATATGGACGCTAGATCTTGAATAAGAGCTGTAAGAATAGCGATAACTACAAGTGCACAGAGGAAGCATGGGTATCCTCCTCCGACTGAAGGTGGGGGAACAAACGCACAAATAAACTTGAATCCAAATGTAAGTAAATGCATGACATAATCACCAGCTGTAGCATTTTCAATATCTCCGCCATTTACATTCATAGCTTCTGCGAATTGATCTGCCCAGGATTGTGATCCTAGTTTCATTTTTTTCAATTTCAGATGTGTTTTGGCAATGACTCTTTTGATCAATCCATCAAATTCTTCATCTCCTACAATTGTCACAACTGTTTTCTGTGTATGTCCTAATTTTGCTCCCTCTGATATTGATCTCAAAATTATTTGGAAACTTTCATCTTTTTCTGTTTTGTGATCATTCACAATTGGAACTTCTATATTTTTTGTGTCTTCACCATGCTCAAATGTTATTTTTCCTTCGTGGCCAATAAAGTCTGCACCTTCTTTTGCTGTGATATTCTCCGTTGTCCAAGTAACTGTAACGATTCCATCAGCACCATCAAACCTATGGAGAGGTATCTGAGCAGTACCAACACTTTCCTTCACTAAGTAACTTGGTTTTGTAAATTCTACAGTGCCTGGTTCGTCATCATTGATAATTGTAACTAGATTTATATTTTTTCTTCCCAATTTTATTTTCTCTCCATTCATATCTTCTACATCTAAGTACAATCTGACAAAAAATGTTTCATCTGGCTCCCATACATCATCATCAACAATGTACACTTCAACATATTTTCTTACTTCTTGTGGATAGAAGGTCATCTCCCCCTTGATAGGTGTATAGTCTTCACCTGCATTTGCTGTCCCATCAACCGTTTCATACCTGACAGATACTTTGCTTGCAGTATTACCAGATCTCACAACTGAAAGTTTAACCGAGCCACAATTCTCAAGTACAGAGCACGAAACAGCATCAAATTCGACTATTGCTTCCTCGGATTGTGTTTTGCCAAGAATTTGGTTGACTTCAACCTTGTGCTTGAGTTTATCAGGTGAGGACTCACTGAGTCTTTCGAGAGTGTTACCTAAACTAGGATCAACTCTTTTTCCAGCCAGCATGTCTCTCGATGCTTTCACCCTATACCATGCCCTGCTGTGTGGAACATCTTTCTGAATTTTGTGGACAGCGATCAAAGCAGCATCTTCTTCTGAAATATTCTCTGGTTTATCAAGATTTTGCATAAATGCACTTACAACACCTTTCAACTTCTCTTCCTGAGATTCTGTGACATTCATCAAAGCTGAATCTTCAACGTCACCCATTTCAATCTCAATTGTGCTTCCTTTCACTTTTTTCTTTCCACAATAATCTTTGTCAGCTATGAAAGCGAAGATTACTAATATAGGAAAAAAGGCAAATGTAGCTACTGCTTCCCAGAGATGAACTTCATTTTTAGTTATTGGAACAAGAACAAGATACAGCCAAACATAAGCAAAAATGGCAAAAAGCGAAGTTGTTGCAAATACTTTATATCTCTTGATTGTTCTTTTTTCACCTTCTGGAATTCCGACAATGCAAACTCCAATGATAATCAAAAGATTGAAAGCAGCAGATCCAACAATAGTGCTAGGACCAAGTTCCCCAGCTCTAAAGTTATTCGTGGTGATTTCAATAATTGAAAGCAAAATCTCAGGAGCACTTGAACCAAGAGCCATCAAGGTAAGATTAGCAACTGTATCATTCCAAACTCGTACTTCAATTATTTCATACCCTTCCTCTTTGTCTGGTCTTGCAACTTTTATTTCAGTTGTCTTGCTAGTGATGACTTCAATTGCACACATGAATGTATCAGCTATGATGGCGACAAACATGAAGCTCCACAATAGACCAATCAGATAAAGACATGCTCTAAATCCAGTACTCCATTGAGATTCATTCACCAAAGGTAAAATGATTCCATTGTTACAATCATAGTCAAGGAACATTGCGCAGGAGGATGGCGTGGTCACATTATCCATGATAGATGAGGATGTCACATTACTCATCTTGCTTCTTATTTGGAAGTGCTAATAATTGTTTAGTTGAAAAAGGTGTTAATTTAAACTAAACATTTGTCATTTCTGATAGTATCTGAAAAAATACATCGGTATTATTAAGAAAGCTGGTATAAAACAAAGTCACATGCAAAAAGTATGATGAAATTTATGGCCACAACTGAAGAATTCAGTAGTCTTAGCACTACGCCCTTCTGTAAGTCACAATTCACAAAAGATAAACTTCAATTCAAACAGTCACAAAAACTAAAAAGAAAAATTTGTCCTACGTGCCGATCAACTATCAGTAGAACAATCACTCGTACAACATAATCACACCCATAAATTCTTGGATAAATAATAGTCTTAATAATAATGTGTAGTCGTTTCTGAGTAAATATACTTTTTCTTGAATGTGGATTTCTCCTACACAAATATAATAGTTTACTCCCCTGATACTAAAATGTGAATAGTCATGAATCTGACACCCGCAAATGATACTCCTAAAACTTACGAAAGATCTATAGTGGAATAAATCTAAAAGTTATGAGGAGCCACGCCTAACAAAGTTTGTTTAAATAAGTTACGTGTTTACCGACAAGAGTTTGTCCTACGCAACAGAACGCCCAACCCCGCTATGATGTATTTATTCATAAGTTAATAATTTTCCAACTTTTTATATTTGCTTTTACTTAAGATGAGCACTATCAAAAAATCGTGCCGGGGGCGTATATACATATCTGCATATCATAACCTATTGCCATAACGAAATGCTATTAAATTGCTTTTTTCATTCATAGATTAATCGAGCTCTCTGCTAGTTCTCTCAATTCGTGATAGCATTTTGAATCCTTTGAACTGATAACATAACTGAAATTCAACTAAAAGTAAATCCCAACCGATAAACAATTAATTTTTAACCAGTCAAAATGAGAGAAAGAAAACTCCGATTCAGAATAGGTCCGTAGTCTTCTCGTAACGTCGCCGGCTATGAATTTGAGTCCTACCTATCTTGTTCTAAGAACATTATACTGTCTTACGCAAAACGACGTAAAATTTGCAAAACACTCGAAATGTATCAGACGACGATACGCGTAAACAAGACACGCGATAGCTTCTGTCACGTGCTTAGATACCAAATAGCAACCATTTGAAATTCAAATGCTGTGCGTTTGGCAGAACGGTTGTACATACTGTACGTATAAATAGATATGTCCGTATTTGATATCGTCTTTCAATTCCAATTTTTTCGAATTAAAATATGAACATGCAACGATGGTAGCAATGAAACATTCGGATTTTCAATTTGAAATAGATACGATTTAAATTTGATTACGTCATTTCAATATTAAAAAAATACGATAAAATGTTTGTTGCAGATTTCCAATTCGGCTTTTACGCGAATATCATTTTCTAAGTTACAATTGTAATGGGTATAAAATAATAATATTTGATAGAAAAAAATATTAAAAAAAGCAACAACATAATAACAAAACGACCCATAGGCCTATGATGACCTTGTCTATTCTCTGAATGTGACACACAAAAAAGAACATGTATTAATGGCAAATCGCTAAGCGTTCGATACATATATATATAAACGTTTGTATTTTCAAATTTGCAATAATTGAACATTTCCCTTTTGCAGCCAAATTCTTTGAAACCATAGACTCGCAAACGCTCAACAATTCCCCGTTGCAAGTAAAGAAACGACTTTGATTCCACAACTCATTAAAAATTCAAGACCGTATCCGATCAATCACTCCGTTGAATTGAAGTGGGAATGCCAAATCAAAGCAAAGAGTGACTATTCGATCAAATAAAACGAAAAATTAAGCGGGCAATATTTTGCGACAGTAAGATTTATCCTGCAGCCAAATGTCTGAAAAGCCTGAATGAGCTGCGCTGCATTGTGTACGCAGGGCTTGATTTACGTCCTAACCTAACGAATATATAAACTAATTAATATCCGAAAAGCGTCTTGTTGGTTGAATCCGGTATTTATTTCCGTTTCAGACTTAACGAGCATGAAGTTTTTACGAAGTCTATGCGCTTTATTAACGAACTTTATTGAATTTGTGGTCGGTGACCATAATGTTTCGACAATAATTATCAGAATATATCACTTCATAGTATATATATATACTGAAATGTGCAGTTCAAATCTTGTCATAGTGAAAAATAAATAACACTCTAACATAGGTTTAGCAAAACAAGGTTGTAATGACGTAAGGATCAAGGTAATGGAATATATACGATTAAAACATATATATACAAAACTAACTTTTATTCAGATTTCCCCCCTGAATATTTTGCGGTCTTCATATCAATAATGACACGTCCCTAAAACTAAAACAAATAAGCAAAAGTCTGAAAATTTATTCAAACGCCATCTATCTGGAATTTACTTCCACCATTGTGAAAAATTTGCTCAGATCGTTAGCCAAGGTTAGTTATTTGTTAGTACAAAAACTAGCCATTTATTCGAAAATAAAATGTAGGTACCTCTGAGCAAATATTCTTCAAAACATAATCGGTAACTTGTAGGCTACACAATCAAAAGCGTATTTCAAATGTTAAAAATTTCACTTTGCAGTGGTATTTCTCGGAATTTCATAGTTTAGACAAACCGCAAATATTGTTTCTATTTGCTTGCTATAAATTTTATGTTCCGAAATTTTCGCTAAGATGATAGCCAACTGTCAGTAAATGAGCAAGAAGCCTCCAGTTGACGCCATATCAATTGGATCACATATTGGTATAAATGGCTTTAGTCTAGTATTATCATTCAACAAAAGAGAGAATAAAAAAGCGTCTTTCAACGTTTCAATGGAAAAATATTTGCTCATTCCAATGCGTTGTGCGTCAAAGAAAATTTTTGTATCATCTTAATTTTACGAATCAGAATATCACCATTTATCTACAGCTTTGACAAACAGGAATAATCCGGTTGGAATTCAGTGAACTACAACTCACCGGCAACAGTCCGCTGCATCAAGTTGATTGAAGACTTATTTCACTTCTTAAATTCGTTTCATCGTTTTTGAAAGACATAAATTACTTGAAATATATACATATGTCAGCATTTAATTATAAAGCAAATGACATCTGCTCCCCCCTATCCCGCAAATAACATCAACGCTGTAATCTCAGAGAAATTTTTCTCAACAAATAGGCTACCTCAGCATCGCTAGCTTTTGGCATCGTCTGAAGGCGTAGAGTCGCCGTAGAATCTTTTGTACGTCAAACGCGATATGCGTAACCGGAATGTGGCGACGTGAAAAAAATCGACGTTCCGCCCTCGACACGCTTTGCACGAGGGACTAAACATTAACGAGGTCGTAACGGCGTCGTATATATTTGCTCAATCGACGTCCACACTGCCTTTTCATAAATACATTATGAAAACCATGGTTTTTACGAAAGGCATCTGCCGCGCTATAAAGCGGATCAACAGAGATTATGATTTAATATATCCTGCATACATTTATCGATATCCGACTGTCTGTGTATAGTACTCAACAATATCCTGTATTTCTTTATTTGAACACCACATTAAAATCCATATGGAAAAAGTATGTCACAAGTTCCTTAAGACAACGTGGCCACTGGACAGCATTTTTTCTTTCTGCAGGGGGCAAAGTGGCGAATTTGCAAACGCGAGTGTGAAATCGAACTGGCACAATAACAGGCTACAAGGCATAAATATTTAAAGCGAGAAACGTATATTGATATTGTGTAATATAAACGCCATGGAAAATTATTATGGACATAATAACGTGCCGCAGCGTAATCATTCGGCAAGATTATTTAATACTATATGAGAAAAATTGGGTTACGCATGCCATCCTTTTTAAAGTTACACAACAGCGTTTTGGGGAGAAAGGTATCCCATGCACAACAAGTATAAACTTGGAGCTCAACAAAGTAATATAGCAATACAGTGGCTATTTGCCTCTATAAAAAGATAAGCGATTGCACGTAATAGGATTTGAAACACACGCCACGATTTGAGTCAGACCCTAAACCTAGACCCTGTTTACGAATTTACTTGTTAACAGGATTGGTTAGTTGTGTTTTACACCGAGAACTCGTGCAGAAATTTTCGTTCGTGTCTGATGCGATCGAAGCTTTCGCAAGTTAGCGTATTACCCAGCAGGAGCGAGACGAAAACTACGAATTTTTTAATATTACTCTTGAGCTCATTGCGTGTTATAGCTAAAATCATACACTGTGCCCTTGATGTAGGCTAATATAGATTATACTATGCTATATTCAGGGTTGCCATCGATATGAACCCAAAAAGAAGGACGCCGGGGAAACATGAAAATAAGATAACAAAATGCGAAACGTAATAAACAAAATGTCTTCAAGCCTGTGCGACGCGTGTATAATCATTGACTCTTGAAAAAGATATTTATAGATTGGTTTGAATTAAATTTTTTGAACAGAGTCCTTGTGGTTCTGAGTTGCATTATGAGCAGAAATTGCTCCTATGGATTCCAGATTATTGTCACATTCACAAAAGCTGCAGTGCGCAAAACACTGGCCCTTCGTTTCGTTTGACGCCGTTAAATTCTTTCTCATAATCATCACGGCAAATGTTTTTACGTTTACTCATTTTATCCCTTATGAAGTTCCAGATCTAGACTAAATTTAAAGTTTAATTTACCGGTATATTCATGTTTTGTCTATAGCACTGATTGTTGACTAACTGCAAAGTCGAAATTAACACGTGCTGAAATGCTAGGTAAGAAGGCAGTCGCTTAGAAGAGAAAACTAAATCAGTAGGCTACTGCTACACTTATCAAATTTATCAGATCTTGAATGGTTCTACTCGTCAACTGCAAAGCTCTTATTTACTACTGTATTTTGATTCATGTTACACAAAAAGATCTTTGCCGGTAGGCTATTGTTCTGCAACTGTGGTAATTAATTTGATGTTATCACGTCACGAATGCGTGTAGCAATAGCAATCAATGAGGTTTTAATCATTTCTAGCAAATCCATCATCCGAATTGACCAAATCAAGTGCTCGGAATAAAAATCTCTACCCCATAAAATAAGGACAAAAATAAGGATACATTTCAAAATAAGGACATTTCTTAGAAATAAGGACAAAAAAGTTTTCTGAGACAAAGTCCTTTAAAATAAGGAAAAATCTTAGAAATATGAAAGTTATGGAAACCCTGACTATATCATAAATTGTTGTGGTATTCTGTTCGTTTCATTAAAATCAGTTGAAGGCTTTAATCAATCTAAGTCGTGCCAATGTACTGTATATCACGCCAAAATTGAAGCAACGCCGTCAAAATATATGAATAAAAGTTTAAACTGTAAATTCAAAAATTAAATCTGAAATCTGAATATTACGTCTATTTTATTCCACGTCGAAAAGCTAAGTCAACGCAAAAGATGTCCAATAAAAAAAATTCTAATGGTACATATTCAGTAAATTAATATCATACCAAATGCTTGATAGTCATTATATATCATAAATTAATGTATAATGAGTTTAATCCTTTGTTGCCGATAACCTGCAAGATAGCGCTGCTATAAACAATTGCTAAGTGCCTACAGCCAACAGCAAGCAAATTTGCAAACTAATCATAAATTGCAACAGAGAAACAAACACTAAAACTTGATACCGTAATATAAATCACAAAAGAAATATGTTAAGCGTGATCCGTCATATAACCCGTGCTGATGACATCTCACAAGACAAGCTGACAGTCTAACAACATTTGAATAGAATCCGACGGAAGCGAATTAGTATTGATGTGCTTATTCTGTTCAAATATACGCTAACTGAACTCATACACGAAAATTATATTATACATCATTATCTCAGTCGGAATTGACACTGTCTTACAGTCTGGCTGTCGAACAGAATGGCTCCTGATGCATTCTATTCGAAGCAACGTTTGCTATATGTTCTCGTCCACCAATTATATTGATTTGTGGCCGTGTAATAGCATTAATCCGATATTCATATCACGGGAGATGTTCCACTGTTTTTTTAATCTTTTTGTAATTTCATCATGATACTGTAGGGTAGGCTATATAATACTTACCGCATTGCGATTGCTATTTGAGGCATCCTCCTTCTGCACTTGCTGCTCGCTTGTGTAAATGACGAAAATTACTACAAATCGATCGTGTCGCTAGGCTTCAGTATTGTTACAATGTATTGTAGAACAGAATAATGTTTTTCACACATGCAGCTGTACACATAAAGAAAAAGGTCATTAGAAACAGTAGCTGATTGATCTTGGGATTTCGGGATTTTTTAGGTATGTTGTGGCAATGCTTCGACGGGGTTATGTACGCCGTATGGCGTACATTGTACGGGATGATACAAAATTACAAACAATGGTAATAATTCATATTCTTGGGATAATTAAATATCCTATCGCTATGTCGGCAAAAGACCAACGAGAAACTTTTTTTTCTTCAATACAAGTCGTTTTGTTTTTGAAGAACGGACTGAAGTGTTGTTAAATTTAGGTGTTATAAATTGGTATTTAGGGCCTATAATCAGCATAACAAGCGAGAAAATGTTTGATAAAAACAGAAGCTGTCTTCTTAAAATTCCGTAATATTGATAAAATTATTTCTGCGATCGGGAATGAAAAATTAATCAAGATACATGGATTTCCAGAGTGGGAATCTCCGGGATCCCAAGTCCCATGCTAATGGCTTCAAAAGAATACAGTATAGGGTAGTGTGAAATTTAGGCTTAACATTGGCTTAATTTGTCCTTAACCCCGCAGCTCTATAACGAGGAAGAGACAAATAGTATCACTATCACGTTTACGCCAATAAAAAAATTTTCCGACCAGTTGTTACTCAGTGTCTCTCTCTGGTGGCGAAATCGAATTTATACTTTTAAGTTAGCCACAACATAATACGAGTAGACCTAAACTGTCGGTGTTTTGTCGAGCATCAACTTAGGATAGGATAGGATTTACATATTTATCCCGGGGGAGAGGAAAGCCGATAAGACGACTTATCCATATGGTGAACCACGGCCTCTCGTCCGGTTACCATTCCATGTCGGGTATGGGATTAGTTAGTTACTTTTTTTTTCGGTAGCATGGACTTGATGGTGGAGGAAGCCGTAACCGACCAGCGGTTACGTGAACCACCCTACGACGGCGAGGAGTCCAGCAATCCTCTCGCACATAACCATCCTGCATGGGATTCGAACCTGCGAACCCACGCAGAGTAATTAGAGGTGCGGTGGCGAGCGTATTCCTAACGCTTTGCACAATGAGCCACACCGCCGCGCCGCACCACGTGATTGTAAATATAGACCCGTTTTCGTAGTTTTGGGTGTTAACTTTATTTGTTAGTTCTTGTCTCAAAATTTAAGTATAAATCAGCTGTCATTGTGTCGTGAGTGTTTATTTTGATCGAAGTAATAAAACAGGCTTTGATTACCCCAACTTTGTGTTAAGGGTTGTGGCTTCCCTTCCCCAGTAAATTAAGTGTTACTTTTTGTTTTATTTTGCATGCTACTTTTTTACTTGATGTAAAAAATAAACTTGACTTGGCGAACGGGATAGAATAGGTTTTGAATTGAAATTTTTATTTAAAAAAATAGTGATTTTGAAGATGCAACTACACGCACCAACTCGCGGAAACAATTTAAAATAAAACAAGAGAGCAGTGCTCAAATGTATGGACACGAAATAATATCAATCTTTTACAGTACCGCTAGCCTTCCATATCAAAAAACTTCAACTTCGCTGACCACTAGATGGTTTTGAATTGGAATTTTTATTTAAAAAAATAGTAATTTTGAAGATGCAACTACACGCACCAACTCGCGGAAACAATTTAAAATAAAACAAGAGAGCAGTGCTCAGATGTATGGACACGAAATAATATCAATCTTTTACAGTACCGCTAGCCTTCCATATCAAAAAACTTCAACTTCGCTGACCACTAGATACAATACAATTATATTTCGATCTTTCGTCTACAACAAAAGTAAAAAAACACACAGACAAAGGCAACTGAAAGATCGGGAAAATGGGCAAAACCTATATAAAGGTTTATAAGGAACGCTGTAACCAGCGCTTGTGCCCATTCACCCACACTCACACAAGTGGCGCGGCGGTGTGGCTCAACGGGCTAAGTGTTTGGAATACGCTCGCCACCGCACCTCTAATTACTCTGCATGGGTTCGCAGGTTCGAATCCCATGCAGGGATGGTTATGTGCGAGAGGATTGTTTGACTCCTCGCCGTCGTTGGGTGGTTCAGGTAGCCGCTGGTCGGTTACGGCTTCCTCCACCACCAAGTCCATGCTTCCGAAAACAAACAATATAACTAATCCCATTCCCGACTTAGAATGGTAACCGGACGAGAGGCCGTGGTTCGCCATATGGATAAGCCGTCTTATCGGCTTTCCTCTCCCCCGGGATAAACATATAAATCCTATCCTAAGTGCTAATATCGCTAAAATGTGATTGTGGAACCGGCACACGCTGCGCAATTTTTAATTTTGATGACTTCACCACGCAAAACTTCAAAGTGAAAACGAATCCCATAGAACCCAAAGTCACTTTGATAGAACCCAAAGAAAGCAGAACATCCATGGGAAATATAGCAAGAATTTTTGGGGGGTTAGGGGTCGGAGAAACATCCATTTGTTCCCTCCGAAAATGTTAGTGACATGCTTTGATGGCTTCTAACTTTTAAAAATTATAAATGCTACGGTACGTTTGATGACTCCCGATACGTGAAATGGATGAGGATACCGTAACACAGATATAGCATAATTACTGTGCCATAAAGTGAACCGTTTAGATTTGGATTAATTATGAATTAATTGGAAAAACCCTACTGACCTATCAGCAACGTTTAGGGAATTAGGGCACGTGACATACCGTACTGTCGGACTGCTATGATCGTCAATACTGCAATAAGACTTCCCTGTTTAGGCTGTTTATAGCTTTTTTGATCATGTTACAGCCAAATAAGTAGTTGGCCACCTTTCAAGTTGAACCAGTGGTACTGGTACGTACCCTATAGTCAGATAGTGGTGGTAGCATAAAAGTCATATTGGGGATGGAAAAATAGGTCGAAAGTTATTCAGTCACCACTGTCCGCTTTAGTGACCGAATATACAAAATAAGGTCTGAAGGTTGGCGGGTGATTGAGATTTTGACATGCAGACATGTATGATATTGATTGCCCTGCGATGTCTTGGCGGTGTTATTACACTTTCAGATTTCCATTCGTTGCGAAATATATAAGCTGTGGTAATTCTCGCGAGTTTCTGAAATATACACATTATGACATATAACTTACCAGTATACGTTTTTATCCATCTCGCATTCATATGGAAGTGAACAATTTTAGTATTGCAATGTGATCATATTTCTGTATTTAATCTAATAATCTCCAAACAAAAAGAAAAAATATGGGACGGACGTGTTGTATTTCATACATAATTTTAATCGCTTTACGCAGTCAAAAACAAAACGACAACAAATAAAAAAGTTTGGGAATCACTGGTTTACAGTATTGTATAAACAAGTAAACTGATCAATACAACTTCAGGAAAACCTTTTGCAATTTTATATTAAATGATTAGATTATGGAAGTATAGTAAAATTTAAAAAACGTCAACATGGTATAAATGTGATGTACTGATTGTACTCTAATACTCATTGCCAGATTGCGGTGGTGGTGTATATGTCCAGATACCTGTATGTCAAAAAACTCAATGATACATTCCTTTTTCAGACTTTTTAGCTTTAGTCAACTTGAAGATTGTGTCTCATCTTTTTCAATGGAAAGTATTGGAAAGATTCTTGAAGACGAAGGTTGGCATTTGAAGGAATCTGCCTTGAATGACCTTCAGAAAAATTTATCAGATAAAGAGGAACTGACATACGGGAAAATAAAAAAATTGGCACTCGATACTGATCTATCTAATATCGGATACAAATATATACAAGAAAAGATTTCTTGTACAGACAATTTATTAGTTGGACCAGTAGTATTGCAGGTTAGCAAAATCAGAAATATCACTGCTCCTAAAGAAAATGAATATTCTAATATTGCACCTCGTATGCTGAGGGTAACTTTAACCGACGGAGTCTCCACAATCACAGGTATAGAATATGAACATATTGAACAAATTTCTCTCAAGACTGCACCAGGAACCAAAATCAGACTCATTGGAAGTATCGCCGTTACTCATGGCCAATTACAATTAGAGCCCGGCAGTGTAAAAATTTTAGGTGGCAGAGTTGAAAAGCTCTATACAAGATGGAAAATAGCCCTCGATGCTGCAGGGCTCAGTAGGGCGGGAATTGTTGCAGAGGGGGCACCACCTCCTTTTGTAGCGTTTGGAAAAAATATTCAGAAATATAACAAAAGTAATAAATCTTTAAAAGGAGATACAAAGCATGACGAAGCCGAAGATGATGAATTCAATGAACAACGTAAAGCTGCCATTGCAGAAGTAGCCAAAGCATCTGTTCAGGTTTCGAAAACTTTTTCATCTGATGTAAGAGCAAACTTCGGCAAAAGGCCGACATCGGCCCCGAGTTATGAAGATAACAAATCCTCATCTGATCCAGTTCATAAAGATAGCAGACCGAAGTTTAGCAAGCAACCTTTATCAAATGAAGAGAAAACCAATTCACAAAATAAAAGTGCTAGAATTTATCGAGAGTTGTCAACTCAGAGTGGTGAAAACGTACACTTGAAAACAGTGAACGAATTTGTAGAAATGGGATTCAAGAGAGATGATGTCGTTTTCTTCATGCAAAAGTGCGATAACGACTTTGAAAGCACTATGGAGATGTTAGTCGCAAATGCTAATGCAGAAGATTCTCAGAAAGAACGACAAAGAGGACATCGAGGACGGGGTGATAACAGAGGATTTCGTAGGGGTAACCGTGGAAGAGGACGTGGCCGCTCATTTCATGAAGAAGAGGAAAATGAGCATCCAATGTCACAACCCTCCAATTCAGCAACATTGTTTGATTTTGTAGAATCTAAAATATCTGTTCCAGAACCGAGTAAGAAACAAAATGGAAATGATTATTACAAAAAATCCTATCAAAATGAAGCCTCAAACCAACGTAATGATAACAAAAATTGGTACCAAGAGTCAAACAGAGGCTATAATTCAAGATCACGTGGCGGAAACCGAAGGTTCAATGAGCGGGGGCGTGGCAGAGGCGGTGGTCGAATGGAGAGGAGGGAAGATAGAAGAGAAAATGATTCATATAAAAGCAGAGGGTACAATAAATGGGAGAGTCATTCGGATAATCCTCAAAAATTTAAAACTTATGATAAAAGATTGAATGATTCGAAAACTGATGAACCATATGGACAGGGAAGAAGTGGAAAGATTGGACGAGAGAGCGATATTACCCCGAAAAACGATTCACAAATGACTGAAAAAGATAGTCGAAATGAACGAATGGAGAGTGGAAAACGATACAGCTCTACACGTGCTTCTGAAAATCCCAGACGATCTCAAGATACTAGAAATGAAGGAAATACACAATCTCGAGAATCTGATAAAAATCGTACTTCAGGACATCAGAATCAACACAGAGTTAACGAAAGGCATGCATCAGACATTCCGCCTCGTTTTAAAAAAGGCAACAGTTTTGTTAAAAATGAGAATATCAAGCATACAGCTATACCCCACTTTCCACAAAATACAATGAAAGGGGAGAGCAATTCCAAACTTTCTGGAGAAGCCAGCGAATTTAACATAAACCAAAACTTTAGAGATTTATCAATAAATCCTCCACCATCTCAAAGGGGCCCAACCACTTTCGGTACGGCAGCGCCTAATACTGATACTTCAATTCATATCAACATTAATCAATCGACTCCCTCACATGACGTTATTGTGAAGTCTCATTCAAATGGCCCCCAGGTTCATGTTTCTCTTCCCAAGTTCTATGTTGGAAGCCACTGTTTAGCAAGGTATTGGGAAGATCGGTGCTATTATAGAGCAATCATCACTGATTTACATCCAACTGCTCCAACCGCTGTTGTTCAATTCCTAGGTTTTGGAAATTATGAAGAAGTACAATTATTCGATATGAAGCCTTTCGATGATGATAAAACATCATTTCATGGAGGTGAGTGAAAATTTATTCCTTTGTTTATTTAATATTCATAATATACACTTGCGCTTCAGAAGTATGTGTACCAATATGGAGGTAACTAATTTTGTTTGCCTACTTTACATCAAGTTGTGTAAAGGGACTGAAACCTATGGGCAGGAGGGTGTATATTCACTTGGCTAACACAGACAGTCCTGAACTCGTAATAGAACTAAAATAAGGAAAGTCGGAATAAAATTATGGCCTAACCCTACCCTGGTACACATACATACTAAGGGGGTAAGCTACCTATACGCCAGGTGCCATTATCATTTTTACTGCAATTTTGGCATACACAAGTATATGAAATTGATGTTAAAGTTAAACTAAAATATTTAGTTTGATTGTACAAGTGATTGTTCTCAAATATAAATATTTTATTAGAAGGACAACAGTTTGTGTATAGCACGATGGCTAGACCGCTGGATAGATTGCTATTATGAAGAAAAAAAATAACAAAATTTTCAGCCAAACGGCTATTGAGATAGGATTACTAGCTTCGGAACTCTCAATGTTTGAGTTTAAAACAAAAGAGGTTCCAGCTCGTTCTTCTATATAAAATTTTTCTAATAGGCAGCAATCGCATTAAAATGGTTTACATTTTTTGTGTATTATCAAGTCTTCTATTGCGAGTGCAGAATATTTCCTAACGGCCACTAGTTTGAGCGAGAAACCTTAACAATCCTTTCATTATCAATTTGCCCTTTTTAGTAGCTCATTTTTAACATTATCAATTTCCCTTTTTCAGCAACTCAATTCTCACACAACAGAGACAATGGGCAGAATTTACCTTATATGGGGAACCCACAGAGACCAAGGCAGAATTCTCGACCTGGTAAACCTCCACTGCAACTGTATGTTCCACCAAAAAGCAGAAACAGTAGCTGATAACATAAAGCACATGTCTGTTTTGTTATACTGTAATACTTTTCGTGCAATTGAATTAATACAAACTCTTGACTGAATACGACTGCTTGTGAAAGAATTACCCTGAATGGTTTCATTACATTTGAACCCACGTACATTTGAACCCATGACAATTGCACCTGTATTCTATTGCACCTATGGAATTTTTTTTGTTCCACGGATAGTTAAACCCATACTAACCCTAACACCCATGGGTTTTAGTACCCGCATATAGATTGAACCCGTGGATATACGCATGGGTTCAAATGTACGGTCACCACCCTGAATATATTCGGAATTGTTACAGCTTTAGAATTTAAGAGTATCGATTTAAACTTCAATAAAAAGAAACTTGAGTTACACTAGTAGTGGCATGGTGAATCTGGTGACAACCCACTAAAATATGGCATAAGCAGGGGATTTTAATGATAGTGTGCACTGTGCATAGCAGACTCTGATTAGTGTCTGTCTATAATTTAGATTCTTATTGGCGTTACAGAATCACAAGCCCATGTACACACTATTATTGCGCTATACGGATGAGACTTGTGCCCTTCTTTATAGAGTACCCCAGTCCATCCTGGTACCAGTCACTAAGGCCTGGCATAAGTTTATCAAAAACAAAACGAGAATATCGGTCGGAGACCGAAGACTTATCGATCGAAAGTTAGGGGATCCCCAAAACAGCGCTCTTACTCCATAGTGACACCTTCATCCTGTCCATCACTAATTAATTAATAACTCGCTAATTATACGACATAATCCATCCAAAATCAATAGGCTTCTGGTCCGACATATGATGAATGCACATGCAAAATCTGGAGCCCGTTCAATCCCGCTTTCGTTGAATATCGCGTGCATCTAACAGACAAACAGACAAATACCTACCAACATACTTACCGATTAAAATCGATAAGTAATAAAAGGGTTCCCGTACATTTGAACCCACGACAATTGCACCTGAATGCTATTGCACTTATAGAAATTTTTTTGGTTGAACCCATACTAACCCTAACCCATGTGTTTTAGCACCCGCATATAGATTGAACCCGCGGATATACACGTGGGTTCAAATGTACGGTCACCATCTTAAAGAATTGCTCCACACACGTACTTCGCTGTCGAAGTTATCCAAGGCATATGAACGCACATTTTCGTCTATCTCGTTTGGTTCATTTAGTAAAAGAATTAGTTATTAATGGCAAGCCGACTATAAGTAAATCGTTCGACTATAAGTAAATCGTTCAAGAGTGGAGCGAAATGGTGTTGGAAAAGGCATATGAATCGAAATCTATGAAAATGCTGAATTTTCTTATTATTATTTTTTTTTTTTTGGGGGGGGGGGGTGTCATGTGACTCATATTCATCTTGATGGATCGTGTGACGCATCGTGCTAATACGTAGGAATACGCTCGCCATCACACCTCTGATTCCATGTCTCTGAAAACAATTAACTGGCTAAATCATCCCATACCCGCCATGGACTGATAACAGGACGAGAGGCGGTTGTTCGTCAAAGGATTAGGCCGTCAACCCACCAACTAACCACCAGTAAGACGTAACTCAGTGATTAACTCAAATTAAAATTTTGAATCGCCGCCATCTTGTTTTTTTATTTTGCCTATAAAGGTTGAGGTTAAATTCCTCAATTTTTGTAGTGAAGCTACATTTTTGCACTGCCATTTGACATATGGTACTTTCAATTCTAGTTAGTTATTGATGGAATAACTTTCTTTTTGTGTGCGAACACTCATCTAACTGTTTGAGTATCGGATTCCATGTTTTCAGTAATTTATCTGATCTGGTGGACTCATTACAATAAAAAAAAAACATGCAATTGAATATCTCTTGAGAGTACCCATGTACCAAGGCAAATACGGATTATAATTTTATTCCGGTTTTCTTTAAGGTTTCCAGTTGAACTTGGAATATTTTAGTCCTATTACGAGTTTGGGGACTGTATGTGATAGCCAAGTGAATATACCCTCTGCCCATATGTTTCAGTCCCTTCACACAACTTGATGTAAAGTAGGCGAACAAAATTAGTTACCTCCATATTGGTACACACACTTGTGGCACGCCCTTTTATTCGAGATTCGATTCGAAAACAATATTCGATTTAAAATTTTCAGGTATTCGAAAATGCCCAGAGCTACTCGTGGTTAAGGGACTCCCTTCCACTAACCTTTTTCTTCCTGACTTTGCAAAAACTTCCACGAATTTCAATCAAATATTTATCATTCTAAACTCAACGTGACGTAATAATATCGTGAATGACGTCATGTCAAGGCATTGGAATTTTTATTTCAAGACAAAATCCTGTTATCACTGTACCATCGAGTCTTTTGTACAAAGCTCCGCCCCTAATGCAAAAATGCTAGATTTGAAAAGAACACCCTCGCCACGTTTCAAATAACAAATTAGTAATTATCTAGTTGGGGTTAGCAATGATTTGAAAAATTGATTTTTTGCGAAATTTGTATTCATAATAGGCTTGCACGTAATTTACGGATTTACGGAATTACGTAATTATTTGGAGTTACGGAAGGGAAGTTACGAATTACGTAAAGTCGTAATTATTGCATTGAAACGAGCTTTCTTCAAAGCAGTCAATTTCGTCGATTGCGAAAAATGAAAGCTCAACAAGTAGAAGAACTTAGAGTTCCGGTATTCGCAGCCGTTTTTCTCTCTCTTGTTACGTAGTGAACGCATGACGCGTTGCCATTTACTAACCTATTATCAACTTATCTGGCGTGGCCAATGTAAATTATTAACGTAGTTAATGGGGGAAGAACTGAGTAGGGCCGTTTGACGCCAACACACCTGGTTTTAACTTCTCCCGCAACTTAACCATAGATACGGAATAGAATTGCGTTGAGACCGATTGACGCCAACACACCTGGTCTTCAATTTCTCTCGCATCTTATCTAGCATGGCCATGGCCAATGTACATAATAACCGTAGATAGGGGGAAGAATTGTGTTAAGACCGATGGACGCTAACACGCCCGGTTTCAACTTCTTCGGGTGAAATGACTAATGAACGCAGGAGATCAATCTATCAAACATGGTCTATTAAACATTTGTATCCATTTTACTTCTATTTATTATTTACTTGTTCCAGTTTTCCGTTACTTATGGTATATATGTTCCGTTTCTATTTTATTCTATTTTATAGTCACGCGTTTGAATAGTGGGAATTCCCCACCAAGTGTGGATTAGCAATGCTTAACCATTCTTTATTGTTAATATCAACACTTGATATATGAACATGGAATATCATATTGTTTTTGGCTGTGTCATTTCAGACTTGGGGTATAAACAGGAAAATATCCATAACCTTTCAACACGACGATCTTGTGAAATTTAACGAAGAGCTTTCGCGACGAATTGGAACCAAATAAGCGAAAAGAGCGATTGATCACTCGCGCCAATACCTCGCCGTGATAATTAATGTCACGCTTATCAAATAGCAATATGACGACAAAAGAGAGATTACGTAATGAACCAAAACGACGGATTCCTCGCGGACCGTTGAAAATTTAACTGCTATCATATATAATCAAATATGAGCCTGCGTGTTTATTCTGTGCGAGATCCATTTTCTATTACAAAATCGTGATGTTCTGTTAACGGTTTTATCGTTATATATCAGTCCGGACTTGGCCTTGCTCATGATGTTTTTCACAATTCCTCTCAATATTTCGGCCATATATGATTAACTGTCTTACCAAATGCGGCAACTTATTTTGATTTATCGTCGACTTGAATACCACCGGAAATCGCAAGTATAATCAAATGAGAGAATACGCTCGTCGTTGGTTGATAAATTAGAAACCCGTAATTTTTATTCAGTACTAAGGTGGTTTTAAAAAACTATCGTTTCCATAAATATCCGTATACCAGTGCCGGTAATAATAAAATAAAATTGATCGCATAAAAATGGGACGGTTAATTTGCGAAGGTGATAAAGAAAAACCAAAGCTAACACAAAAGATAAAAATCAGAATAAAATTAATTTGAATTCACTCCTTGATAGTTGTCTTTAACATTTGCCGCCGGCGTGTAGTACTGCCAAGAATAGGAAAACCCAACTTCAATGTCCCATTCGGAAAAAAAGTGGATTCAATGGGTTGTTACGATAGGTTTAAATGCGTGGAAAAATATCGCAATTACGGGGTCATTACGTAATTGATTTTGCCGTAATTACGGAATTGATTTTTGTCAATTACGTGCAAGCCTAATTCATAACCCAGAACCTAACTGGATAAATAATAATTTTCACATGCAATTAAAGGTACTCTCGAAGTATGCGAACAATATGGCCAACACCGAAACGTAGTATGTGTACCAGGTTAAGGTTGGGCCATAATTTTATTCCAATTTTCCTTATTTTAGTTCTATTGTGAGTTCGGGGACTAGCCGTGATTCCCGTAGTATTTGTACCTGAAATAATCGCTTAACCCTAACCTGGTACACCTACTACCTCCCGGTGTCCGCCATCTTGGTTCACATACTTCGGGAGTACCTGCATTATACGGTTCATGTAAGACATGTACTCAATTGAATAGCTTTTGAGTATTCGAGATTCGAAATAATATTCGATTCTAAGATCTTTAGGTATTTGAAAATGCCCAGCCCTACTCGGAGTTTAGAGACTTTTTCTCAATACTGGCCTTTGTCGTCCTTACTTTGCAAAAACTCCGTGGAGGTTTAAGCACCTATTTATTATTCTTAACTCAAAGTGACGTAATAATACCATAAATTACGTCATATCAATGCATTGAAGAATTTATTTGCAGATCAAAACGATTGGTGTGAATGAAAATTACAATAAATTAATTTATTATAAAATTACAAAAATTTTCTTTTTCTTTTTCGGCTCACACACACAAAATGAAAGTAACATAGTTAAATGATATTGAATCAAAAATAAATTTGACGTTCTAGTTTCTGAATAGCGTATGGAGATGATTTGAGATTATTCGGGTCCAACATCCAAGCCGTTATGTATTTCTTCTCCTTCAGCCTGAAATACAAATATAGTATATATATATAAAGTATACATAAATCAATTACTGTTCATTTCAAGGTGGTGTATTTTGTCGCTCTCGTAGTATGTGCAACAAGATGGCGGACACCTGAACATAGTATGTGTACCAGTTAGTGTTAGGCCATAATTTTATTCTAATTTTTCTTATTTTAGTTCTATTACGAGTTCGGAGCCTAGCCAAGTGACTCCCGTAGTATTTGTACCTGAAATTATTGCCTAACCCTAACCTGGTACACATATTACGTTCCGGTGTCCGCCATCTTGGATCACATACTACGGGAGTACCTGCATTTCCGGATCATATGGCGCACCGCCAATAATTTGCGGTGGCTGCTTAAGCTGTCATAATGACGTAACAATTGACAGTATCTAGAACGCAAAATGGGCAAAATACGAGAAACCTGCGCGTGCCAAATTCGGCCCGTTGGGTTATTCAATCTGGCCGCCTGATGCTGCCACAACCAATTCTTATGTTTCAGCTAAAAATTTATTGAGATTTCGATCAAATTTAGTTTTGGCACGAGTTCTGACCAGTTACGCATCATTGATTTTCGGTGGTAAATGATTCTGACTGGTCACGCTTACCCTGTCAGAAAATTGGTTAATTTTCATATAATATGTATGTTGCCCGGCATCTGCTTCATCGTTATGTTGATCAATCTTCGCCTTATTCTCCAACCAAATGTTGTGCCGTATCCCCTCTTCTTCAGCGGATTCATAACTCTTTCCTGTGACGTAACAAAAAATGAAAACTTTTTGTTATTACGTTTTTGAACCAGGGGCCGAAAATGTTGCCCTACTTAGACTGGAGGGCCATGTGTGACGTAAAACGTTACATTCTATGAACAATATTTACAGTGTTACAAAAGCAAAAGGAGAAAACTATAAGCCTCGTGCCAAATCTAAATTTATTTGCAATCTCAACTAATTCCTTGGGCTATTTTTTAAAACATCAATATTTGGGTTTAGCTTGGTTGTGGCAGCTTCAGGCGTGCCAGATTAAATTACCAAACGGGCCGGATTTGGCCCGCGGGCGGTAGTTTGCCCATGTCAGAGTTAACCAGTTATCCGATTCAGATTGAGTTGCGCGAAAAAAAAAGAATTCTTACTAAAATGAGCTTTCCATGCATACCAATCCATTTCCCATCTCCTTCCTGGCGGACGGCTATACGGACGGCTATTAACGGCTCCGATGCAGCAAAGTATCAATATAATGTAACAATACATAGACATAGTTTATTTTGGTATCTTTCACAAAAGCACTCAAACCAGAGGTAAAAATGCTTGTAAGTGCCAAATAACACGAAGCTATACAGACAATAGCGTCAATGCAAAGTAATGCCCGCAGATTAAAAGCCCCACAATTTATAGGCTATGTTCGCCGCTTTTGCATACTGTGGTAGTTATTGTAGGATCGTTTGTCAGTCTAGACACGCGATAGTCGACACAGCATTTTTAAATCTTGGCAGCGGAAAAACTTGCATTTGTTACGTAATAATATGCTTTATCCGAGCTTGCCCAGACTCAAATACTATATGTGTATATTGTATTTTGTGCATTTACAACGCTCGCCACCACACCTCTGATTCCATGTCTCTGGAAACAAATAACTGGTTAAATCATCCCATACCAGCCATGGACTGGTAACCGGACAAGAGGCGGTGGTTCGCCATATGATTAAGCCATCTTATAGGCTTTCTTCTTCCCCCACCAACCAACCACCAGTGAGACGTAACTCAGTGATTAACTCGAATGAAAATTTTGAATCGCCGCCATCTTGTTTTTTATTATGCCTATAAAGGTTGAGGTTACTAAATTCCTCAATTTTTTGTAGTGCAGCTATATTTTTGCACTGCCATCTGACATATGGCACTTTCAATTCTAGTTAGTTATTGATGGAATAACTTTCTTATTGTGTGCGAACACTCAGCTAACTGTATTGGATTCCATGTTTTCAGTAATTTATCTGGTCTGGTGGACTCATTACAATAAAAAAACACATGCAATTGAATATCTTTTGAGGGTACTTCTGTACCAGGGCAAATACGAATTAGGGTTAAGCCATAATTTTATTCCGATTTTTCTTAAGCTTTCCAGTTGAACTTAGAATATTTTAGTCCTATTACGAGTTTGGGGACTGTATGTGATAGCCAAGTGAATATACCCCCTGCCCATATGTTTCAGTCCCTTTACACAACTTGATGTAAAGTAGGCGAACAAAATTAGTTATCTCCATATTGGTGCACATACTGCTGGCACGCCCTTTTGAGTATTCGAGATTCGATTCGAAGAAAATATTTCAGGTATTCTCCCAATCACTGCCCCCCCCCCCCCCCCCCCGGTCGATTGCGATCGACGTGTTTGCCACCCCTGGTTTATATGATAATTACAATAAAACAATTTATTATAGAAAGACCTACAAAAGCACACAAACCAAAAGTAAAATATACTTACAGGTACCGAATAACACAAAACTATAAAGTCAATAGCGTCAATGCAAAGTAATGCCCGCATATAAAAAGCCCCAAATTTTATGGGCTAAGTTCGCCGCTTTCGCATACTGTGGTAGTTATTGTAGGATCGTTTGTCAGTCTAGACACGCGATAGTCGACACAGCATTATTGAATCTTGGCAGCGGAAAAACTTGCATTTGTTACGTAATAATATGCTTTATCCGAGCTTGCCCAGACTCAAATACTATATGTGTATATTGTATTTTGTGCATTTACAACGCTCGCCACCACACCTCTGATTCCATGTCTCTGGAAACAAATAACTGGTTAAATCATCCCATACCCGCCATGGACTGGTAACCGGACAAGAGGCGGTGGTTCGCCATATGATTAAGCCATCTTATAGGCTTTCTTCTTTCCCCACCAACCAACCACCAGTGAGACGTAACTCAGTGATTAACTCGAATGAAAAATTTGAATCGCCGCCATCTTGTTTTTTATTATGCCTATAAAGGTTGAGGTTACTAAATTCCTCAATTTTTTGTAGTGCAGCTATATTTTTGCACTGCCATCTGACATATGGCACTTTCAATTCTAGTTAGTTATTGATGGAATAACTTTCTTATTGTGTGCGAACACTCAGCTAACTGTATTGGATTCCATGTTTTCAGTAATTTATCTGGTCTGGTGGACTCATTACAATAAAAAAAAAACATGCAATTGAATATCTCTTGAGAGTACCCATGTACCAAGGTAAATACGGATTATAATTTTATTCCGGTTTTCTTTAAGGTTTCCAGTTGAACTTGGAATATTTTAGTCCTATTACGAGTTTGGGGACTGTATGTGATAGCCAAGTGAATATACCAAGTGGGTTCTAAAACTTCTATTTGCCAAGTCGGATCGAAACAGTTAGCGGGTCCGGACGAACGCCGGAAAACTTGTGTTTTCATTAGTCTTGAGAGTCTAAAAAGCGTTTCAAGCCACGAAACATCGCTATGTATGATACAGAAAAAGATTTAAATTTTTTTTACATTTTAAAAGGGGGGGAGGGGGGTCCGACCCAAAAAATAAAAACACCCTCTTGCTACGCCCCTGAATAGAGTATAGGATTTGAGATTATTCGTGTCCACCATCCAAACAGCCATATATTGATTCACCTTCAGCCTAAAATATAAATATATGGTATATAATAAAAAGAATCGTTCTTGGTGAAGTGTTCGTACCAAGATGGCGCACAACCTGAACATAGTATGTGTACCACGTCAGGATTGTTCAGGTTGTGCGTCATCTTGGTACGAATACCTCGGAGCGCATAAATCAATTGCTGTTCATTTCAAGGTGGTGTATTTTGTCGCTTCCGTAGTATGTGCAACAAGATGGCGGACACCTGTCATAGTATGTGTACCAGGTTGGTGTTAGATCATAATTTTATTCCAATTTTCCTTATTTTAGTTCTATTACGAGTTCGGGGACTAGCCAAGTGACTCCCGTAGTATTTCTACCTGAAATTATGGCCTAACCCTAACCTGGTACACATACTACGTTCCGGTGTCCGCCATCTTGTTGGAATACTACGGGAGTACCTGTATTTTTAAGTTACTGTATTTTACGGATGATATTGCGCACCGCCAACAATTCGCGGTGACTAGTGAAGCTGTTATAATGATTAAACAAATGGTCTTGGTCTGCCTCATTGTTTTAAATTATAGTCACTCTGTACCTAACAATAACTGCTCACACGGAGCTGTTAGAGCGAAAAAGAAAAACACGTACAAAAAAAACAGTGCCTCACCATAAACCTTTTTTATTACTTATCGATCTTAAGATCGGTAAGTATATTGATAGGTATTTGTATGTCTGTGTGTGTGTGTGTCTGTTAGATGAACGCGATATCTCACGAACGCGTGGTTGAATCTGCTCCAAATTTTGCATGTGCATGCACCTTACCTCGGACCAGACGCCTATCGATTTTGGGTTAATTATGTCGTATAATTAGCGAGTTATTAACTAATTACCGATCTAAGATCGATAAGTCTTCGGTCTCCGACCGATTTTCTCGTTAATATTTTGGCCCGTTACGGATCAGTGATTTTCGGTCGTGCAGGATTCTGATTGGTCACGCTTACCTTGTCAGCAAATTGGTTAATTCCCTGATAATATAATTAATATGTATGTTTCCCGGCATCTGCTTCCCTGTTGTGTTGTTCAATCTGCGCCTTATTCTGCAACCAAATGTTGTGTCGCCTCTCCTCTTCTTCAGCGGGTTCATAATTCCTTCCTGTGACGTAACAGAGAATTAAAACTTTTTTATTAGGTTTTTGAACCAGGGGCCAAAAATTTTGCCCACCTAGACTGAAGGGCCATGTGTGACGTAAAACGTTACATTTTATGAACAGTGTTACAAAAGCAAAAGTGGAAAACAATAGGCCTCGTACCAAAACTAAATTTAATCGCAATCTCGACTAATTCCTTGAGCTATTTTTTTGCTAAAATATCAAAATTTGGGTTTAATTTGGTTGTGGCAGCATCAGGCGTGCCAGATTGAATTACCAAACGGGCTGGCTGAATTTGGCCCGCGGGCGGTAGTTTGCCCATGTCAGAGTTATCCAGTTATTCGATTCAGATTCGAGTTGGGCAAAAAATCAATAAATCTCACCAAATTGTTCTTTCCATGCATCCCAATTCTTTTCCCATCTCTCTACTTTAGGCTTGGTATTAGTCGGACGGCTATTAACGGCTCCGATGCAGCAAAGTATCAATATAGTGTAACAATACACGGACATAGTTAATTTTGGTATCAGCTACAAAAGCACACAAACCAAAGGTAAATAATACTTTCAAGTACCTAACGAGAATATCGGTTGGAAACCGAAGACTTATCGATCGATAGTTAGGGGATCCCCCAAAACAGAAACTGCAGTTTCGATTCATCCGCTCTTGTAACTTGCGCACTGCGCATCGCACACACACACTCGGCGGGTTTCAAAATTCTCTCGCTTTACAAAAATCTAGATCACTATATCAATAATTGATTGATAACTCGCTAATTATACGACATAATTCGCCCAAAATCAATAGGCTTCTGGTCCGAGATAAGATGAATGCACATGCAAAATCTGGAGCAGATTCAATCTCGCTTTCGTGAGATATCGCGTGCATCTAACAGACACACACACAGACAGATATACATACATACAGACAAATACCTATCAATATACTTACCGATCTTAAGATCGATAAGTAGCTACGTCATTGAGTGTTTACAGCACATCTGATGAAAGCAATCCCGCAAACCTCAAAGAGGATTTTCAAGTTTGCTTTGGGGAATAGAGAAATAATTTAATTCTGTGTGTTTCTAAGCTTCTCTTCAATCTAACGTTATACTGTATGTAGACTGTAGAGCATGACGCAGGCCAGTCTAGACAAATGCCTAGGATTTTGAGGACTTAACCAACTAGCGCAAAACACTGCCGCTTGCTTTTCGATTAATATACTCAGACAAAGCCCTTTGGAAATATAACCAATGGGACAGTACATGTTAGTGTACAGTGTGTTCTTTCTTAAAAAACAAGTGTACAGGCTGTGTCGGTGAGCTGACAAATTTGTTACAATATGAACTATGCTAGATAATCAATTACCACTCTTATCCAACAGTTCCCAGGTCAATGATGAGACATTTTGTTTTCAAGTTTTTCTTTAAATTATAAAAGTAAACAATTGAAAAGAAGTCACGGTTTTTTATCTTTATCGGTTTCCTCATGGTTGGGTTTGGTAATTCGTTCTATTGATTGTTGAACCGCATCTTTATATTGTTGTTGTCTTTCAGGATTCTCATAGTCAAACTCAGATGCATATCTGTGTCAAATCAAAGGTATTCAAAGAATAGTTCAATTGTATCTTTGATTAACCATCAGTAAAACATAAACACCAGAGGTTCCCAGAACTGTTCTGTCAAAAGTTCTCAGAAACTACACTAACTACGAACACCGCCACAATGAAAAAATTGCTAGTTTATCCATTTGCCATAACAGAGACCAACTGCCCAGGAATATATGATAAATGGGTTGATTAGGAGCGACTTGGCGGGTTACCCAAAAACATGAGGTCATATTGTGACCAGTGTTTCGGCATTGGCTGCTCTATACTATAGTGACACAGTAGGGTAGCCGGTAATAAAATTATGGGACAAACGATTTAAAATTATCTAAGATATAGGTATATATTTTGAAGAATAAATTTAATTGTTGTTGACTTCACTATCTTTGTGAAGACAACAGGCGATAGTCCACCACTGCTATTATTTTGGTCATTCTCAAGCTTGTGAAATAGGCTCAGTTGTTACTGATAATCCATTTAGTTAACATAGAGATGTCAATTGTCAATATAGGTAAATATCATTTATGTCCAGTGATTCATACTCAAAAGGTATGCTAAGATAAAGCCACCTTAACATCCTCATGTAAGCACTGTAACTCATTGCATCGGAATTGACAAAAATAGGTCTTCCTTTCACCAAGAATGATGTAAATGCGGTGATCTTTGGAGGCATCTTACATTCTTCTGGAGAGAACACAACCCTGTAATAAGGAAATGCTGACATTGACAATGTACTATAAATGTTAGTAACACACAGAACTTGAAAATTTCAACTTACTTTGAGCGACCTGCAATAAACGGTGATGGTATAAAAGCTGTATATTTGTCTTCTTTTTTGTCATGATATAATTCAAGAACATATCTCTGCATAAATTTGTAGAACATGGCAGGATTTGCAACACCAAATAGAAAAGCCCATGACACAATAACATATTTCTATAAAAATAGAAATCTAGCGTCATTTCGGTTTGTGTTCATATAAAATTGAAGTCTAAGAACCAAGTTTACAAACAACATCTCAGATGCGAAGAACTACATATAAGGGATCAAGTACCGGTACTCAAAGAATGAAGCCATAAATATTTGTGTGATCAAGTAGTCATCCCAAACTAATAGTAAATTCCTCATTGCAAAATGTGAGAGATAGTCCCAATGACTGTATTATTTCGGTGAAATTAGACGTGAACCACTGTGGTCCATGAACTTTGTTAAAATGGAAGGATTGGCAGAGGAGATAGACAGTTAGTCTTATGTTATCCAAACTGATAGTTTCAGTCCTGTAAGAATGCTAATTATATTTTCAATCTTGCCCAATAGAAAATACCTCTATTCAAAGATTTACCTCATATCAACATACCATAATTTCGACTTCTGTAAAAGAAGATCATGGGTGATGCAACCAGGGTCAATGCACCAAGAGAGTACAAGAACATTTGGGCACCTGAAAAATAACACAATCATTTATTAGCAAAATAATATTCCTCAATTTTTATTGAGACAATAAGTTGACCAGGCCAGTTGGAAAAGTATCAATGAATGCCCATTGCCCAACTTGATCTAGCACTGCATTTTAGGTTAGGCAATATTCAAACTCTTTAAATGGCTTAGTTGAATCATGGTATAGAAAGGATCTATCACAAAAATATAGAAGATTCTATTTTTAAAAGCTATATTTTTAAATACAATTTTCTAAATATAGTTTATTTATAAGTTGGGTCAAGATAAAATCTTTACTAACGTCTATTGTATTTCCAACATTGCCACCTACATACAATAATACTCCTTCTTCATATTGAGTTCCTAGTCGCTTTTCAGTCGAATAACAAGTTGAAGATATACTCATGTTTCTCAAATTCGAAAGATATAATTCTGCCTCGTGGTCAGACATTTTTGTAATAAACAATTCTTCCTTCATTGAAATTACTTAAATAAATGTTTGATTCGATGCTGGATGTTTGATGACACTTAAAGCAGTTCATATGTATACTATTCTTCAACATAATCGAAGATGTAGTAGATCTTCGCTGAATTGGATGAAGTAACTGTCTGAGAATCATCTCTTCTATTTAAGTTAAAAATTTATAATGTTGTAGGACCTAGAAATGGACTATATACAAGATTAACAGGGTGCTATAGACAGGGGTCGGAACAAAATTAACTATACAAATATATTCATAAATAGTTGTAGTCAATATGGCTGATTCTTGGGTTGGTTTTGGACAACTAGATGGAAATTATTAAGTTCTGCTTAATGATGATAGTATTAGTAGATCAGTGAGTACAACATGCCTAAAAAATAGAGATTAGTGCGTCTTTCTTTTTTGAATGTGGACATTGGGCACCTTTCTTTAATGCAGGCTAGTAGTTGCACATAAAAAAATTTCGGTTATTGATCTTATGATTAGGGCTGTCCAAGCGAACCAAATATTCGAAATCGAATCGAATCGCAAATTATTCGAATCGATTTTCGGCTAATTTTCGAATCGCTAAAATTAGGTACCGGTACATAAAGCGGAAACCATCTTTACGGGATGTTTTTCATCGGGCAAGCGGCGGCGCTCCGAGCTCAGACCACTCTCGCTCCCGGCTTGCTTAATTGGTTTCCCGATATTTCTCTCGCCTTCATTTTGTGATAAACATGTCATTACTAATGCCCGCCCGGTGGCACGTGATTAGCCATTTCATGCGTGGTCATCATAACAAGGTATAGTCGATCGTGACGTTTTTGAGAGAGAACAAGGAGAAAAAGGAGACAATTTAGAAAAACGATAGTTCTATAAATAGAATCGATTTGAAGCTGTTGAGTTAGTTATCATAGGAACATGGTACGGGCAACTCAAAGCTGAAACAGGTGTTTAGGGATCCTTATGATGGCAATACCTTCTTTAAATGGAATTTGTAATTTCTCATGATGGCATTACTGTATTATCCATCTATATACCAAGACAAATAATTGCACTCTTGCATTTTGATGGCTGTTGTACACTAACAATATTATAGTCCTCAAATAATATTGTCATCAAACTAGCTTGGAATTTTTAAATGCAATTTTGAACTTGAGCAACAGTTTTATCTATATTGATGGTTGTTATTATTTTGCTGAAATTTACACAAAAAAACATAAAGACTAGTGAATAGGATTTAAATAGCATCTACAGGCTTTATATGTCCTACTAAAACTGAATCCATCAAAATTGAGATTGCAATTTTTGAATAGTGCAATTTTTACTCTCAACACTCAACAGTTTTCGAGACCCAAATTTTGGAGTTCTCCAATTTTTTTGACCAGTTCATACAAGCGTGTGATCTCCTTTGATGTAACTGCACATACGTTACCACAACATCGAAGGGCAGGCGTTTATTGTATAATAGAGACAGATTTACTATTGCGCAATAATATTCGATTATTCGGTTCGATTCGGCGAAAATATTCGATTCGATTCGAATCAAAAAATTATTCGATTTTGGACAGCCCTACTTATGATATACGTTGTTTGCTTCGCAACAAGCTAGCTGTTAGGGCATTGTAATGTCATAGGCATAGATAATAAATAGAGTATAGGCTTTGCAATGCAAAGGGATTGAATTTACTTGCATGTAGTAGATTAAACTAAATTAAAACTCGTTTCGTGGGTCACACATCATTCAAAATTTGCACTTATGCCCAGTCCTCAAAATTTTCTCTTGTGGGGTGCATTTGGTATAATTTTATTATTGGTTGCACTATATCATATTTTCTCTGTTCAACAAAATAAAAAAATCATATGTAACACATCACATGATTAAGTAGTTACAGATAATATTTGATAAAATGTCCATTGCACCAAGTATACTCAACTAGGTGATCTATGCATGCCATAAACACCCCTGATATGAAATTTTTTAAACCTCATTCACACATCTCTTTTTGTTTAAAAATCATAACATGATTTCTAGGTGACTTTTTATCAGTGTGCTCCTTTCAAGATGTTGATAAAGAAATGCTGATACAGATCTGAAAAAGAAAATATATAAACCTATTATACTGTATAATCAAAAGAATTGTCACGAGATGTAACCAATGAATGGAATAATTTACTTTAGTTTCCCAAGTGTTGGACAAAGCAGCATTCGTTAGAAAAACAAAGAGGAAAGTTTGGGATGAAAAAAAAGGGAATGCCATGAATTTTCTGGACCATATTTGAGTAAATAATATATTCAGATGAGAAGACAGATTTGTTAAAAATTTTGGATTAAATGTCAAGTTCGATATTGAAAAATAGCCATCTCTGATTACAACATCTCAATGTATTATTACTATTCACACATGTTATATAATACCAAAAATAATGAACACATTTTATTACATTTATGGTACTTTCACTTGTTTATCATGCCTGGACATTTACTATAGTTTTTACTTTTAGTCAATGCACTGGTTGGTAATTATGTCAAGACTTGATTGATTAGCATTATCAATAGATTAAACTACAAAACTTACTTTATAAAAACAGCAAGGTGTGGATATCTAGCTGTTGGCCTACATTCAACATGAATAAATAACTAAGACTATTTGACCTGATTTTATCAACTTAATCTAAACAATACAAAAGCATTTCATGATAGTATGTACATTGAAAAACACTGGTACTACTAGAAATATCAAGTACTGCTTGAAATTGTAAATTGCATCTAGATTTATTCAAATTTAAAATTCAGATAGATGTCACAATTTTAAATTAATTTTTATAATGTAAGTGATACCCATCATATTACTATTTTGGAATACTAGGTGTAATTTTCCTGTAGCCCTCAAATTTCATAGGGTGATAGACAATACGATAAGGAAATAAAAATCAGCAAGAGTGCTTCAAATCAGGGATGGCCAATACCGAATAGTTCACTATTTCGAATACATTCAAAATTATTATTTTCGAATATGAAATTTCGAATACATGCGAAAAAACATTCAAGTAAAAAGCATATTTTATGGCATGAATCAAATGCATACAATAAACAATGGAATACGGTAACTGTTATCTACAACCTGCTTATTTACCAGACATTTTATGTCCGCAGATTGCGTGATATTTTAATATACGATAGCAATGCTTTTATTTTTTCGTAAGTTGACGCAATCACGGGTTGTGTTAAACAGAATTAAATTAATATGGCAAGGCATTTTAATTGCTGGTATCTAAATATTTTGCGCAACAAAAAATCATCCTAGTAAAAAGTCGATACTGTGGCTACTATTCAGAGTTATTCGAAAATCAGCCAAAAAGGTATTCGAATACTTTGATATTCGAATGTGTTTCGAATATTGAAAGAGTGATTTTACTTTTATACTTGCCACACAGGCGCAGCACAATGCAATCCTATTATTGTGCAAATGTATTTCATTACAAATATTGTACCTCCATAAGGCAATTCTCCAGCAAAAATTTCAGGATATAAGTAATTTAGCATTATCAAAATAAAGTGTGCACCTTACATATTTGGCAAGTTATTGTGATGTAGTAATCATAAAAATGTATTGTTTAGTCAACACTAAGTAGAAAGCATAAACAGAGTAGCACAAACTGTACAGATAATATGCAATTATAAATTCACAACCTGCAAATAGTTTGTTTTTGTTCACATAGCAAAACAATCATTTTGACTGGTTTAACGCATGCTATTTGCACAAAATGAGGAACCCGATTAATTTAATTAATTAAGCATTTGGATCTGTATCCCAAAAGTAAGGACTTAAAATAGGGAATTGCAATAGCAACAGCCAAAATGACACAATCACATAGCCTGTGGTTTGAAAAAAGACTACCATGAAACTGAGAGTCATCATCATTGAATACATCAATGACTACTTGAAATCTTCCTTTTCATGCACTTGGCTAAATTTAAATACATCAATTTACTAATTCACTTATCAATCAATTATTAAGGGATAGGATTTTATATTTATTCCGGGAGAGAGGAAATTAGATAAGAGGGCTCTCGTTCGGTTAACAGTCTATGTCGGGTTACTCGGGTATGATATTAGTTGGCCAGTTATTTGTTTCAGATACATGTCTTTGATTTGAAGTTGAGCCATGCCTATACTTTGCAACGTAGATAAACTTTGACCCTCCCTTGTGTCCATCTATTTGTTTCAGATACATGGCCTTGTTTGAAGTTGAGATATACCCATACTTTGCAACGTATATAAAATTTGAACCTCTCTTATTGTTGGAAAAACGGATACCGAGCTTTAATTTAGTTTAATTAAAGGTTACCCTTTTCCTTTACCCTTTATAGCCATGCGATCATCTCTGTTATAATCACTTGGTGTGACACAAGCTTTAGGAACTTTTTCTAAAATGGAAGAAATTTCTTCTTTTTCGTTATAGTTTTTCCACAAATCATAAAGTTGTAATATAATTTTTGTAATTTCAATAATTTTTTCCATATCAACATTTAAATCTGCAAACCATTGTCTTGCAACCTCTAACTGACTCTGTATAACACATGCAATATGCAGGCATGCGAGAGCAATTTGAAAAGGTGGATATAACAATATGACATCCGTACGATATGTGTCGTTTACAATACGCCAAGCAACAGGTAACAATAAATCAGCGTGTCCAATGTCTGAAACATATTGCAATAATGGACGATATGGGTGATACACAATTAAACAACAATCCATTAATTCCAGGAGAAAAAATTCACATTCCCAAACACTGGTTATTCTGTAGTTATAATCCATTTGAAACGCATGGCCAAATTTATTTTTGATGACACTTCCGACTGCAGCAATAAGCCGTGAATTTGATACCACGCCACTCTCTTCCACCTTCGCAGCAAGAAAAATGCAAGTTGGAGCTAAAAGAAGTGGGTCACAGCTTCGTAATGGATGTCTGCAATAAAACCTTTTGAAATAGACAGTTGCCGTAGCAATAACTTGCTGGCGTAGCTTTAATTGTTCGCCAATTGCTTGGATTACATTGGCATAAAAAATCATCACTTTGTTATATTCAACTTCCGTTAAAACTTTAAAATCAGCTGCTCGTTCTCGAGTGAGATCTTGCGGCGTAAGTATCCATTGATTGCAATGAGAACTCTGCCAGAAGTTTCCAGCCATATTACATTTAAAATAGGAGCTAGATGGTAATCTATAAAAAAAATGATAAATTTTTACAAGACACAATGATAGAAGCACAGAAAAATGCTACATAACAAATGGCAAGATTGGTTTGTAAATTGATGCATGAAAAAGTACGGTATAACTAATAGTACGAAGTTTAGGAGATATTTTGTAAAACTATGTAAGCATTACAGATGAATAATCATGAACAAAAATTTTGGAATTCGAGGTTGTTATTTCAGAGATGGAGATCTGTAGCAATGAGACATTTATGGGCACTGTTATATTAAAAAAAGTTCTGCAAAATATAACAGGTGTCATGATATGATGCGGTAATCACATTGGAATATTACGATACACATAATTGCATTAAAATTCATCAAAAATGGAAGAAAATCAAAATATAACAAAATTCATTCTATTCATCATGTCCGTGATGTGACACGTTAGTGTGAGCAACTAAATGTTCAGGAATAATTGCACCAATTCTTGAATAATAACGATTTCTCAAACCAAATGCAGTCATTGGTTTAATTCTTGGTTGCATATCAACAGAAGCATTTGCAATTTCTTCTGCTGCTTCTTCGAGAGCACGTTTTGCATTTTGTTCTTTGGCAGAAGCATTCAGGCCACTTTCACGACCAAAATCAATGATGTACAAAAGCAAAGCAGATATTAAAGCAACACTGATACACATACAAAAAAATATCTCTAACATGAAATATCCTTTACTGTCGAGAATACTACCAGCGGCAAGCGATATGACAGCCAAACCCAAGTTTTGTATTGATTGCATAAAGCCATAGGCTGTGGCAAGTTGATGCTCAGGTACTAAAAATGCTACAAGTGGCCACAGTGCACATGCTAACACAGAATATGCAAATCCCATCAACGTCATGGCAAACCATGGATTGATAAAGGTAAATGCTAATAAACCATGACTTGCAAGAGTTAAAACAACAGCAAATAAAATCCAGAACAAATTACGACCAACCCGATCAATAATAAAGCCTAGGACCGGTGAACAAGGTGCGGACATGATATATACAATACTATTCACTGCGCTTGCGCTCGATGAAGAAAATCCAAACTTTTCTTGAAAAAACGTTTTTCCTAAACCTATAAAAGGAAATACTGCTACATAATAAGCCACACAGATGGCAAATACAAGCCATAACTGAATTGAAAAGTCTTTAACATCCGTTAGTTTAACAGCTTCTTCAGCTTCATTCTTTTTACGATTCAATATTTTTTCAGCACGTTTGTCAAATACGCCAAACTAATTGCACATGTCAACGAGAACAAACAAGTCAGAGCAGCAATAAATAGAGAAACACCCAGGGTTTTATTGTGGTCCTTCATTTTTTCATTAACCATATCATAAATTGGTACCATGAGGTTCATATTCACGGTGCTTCCAATCCGAGCCATGCTGAGTTGTAAACCAAACACTAAGTTTAATTCCTTCCCTTTAAACCAGAGAACAGCATATGTATTTTGGGCGACAGCTAATGATTCTCCACCAATACCAAATATGAAACGTCCTAGGTCCATCAACCATATTTTGTGTACCAGTGCTCCAGTAGCAAAAATTAATTGCCCAATAACAACCAGCATGCTAAAAATGAGGCTGCCAAGGCGAACTCCAAAAACCCTATCTAGGAGAAATCCCCCGAAAAAACAGAGGACAACATTTGGCCATGAATACCAAGCATAAAGCGACATAAAAGTGCTTTCACTTATATCCAAATCATTCACAATTTCATCATGTAATGCAGCAGGATTGTCGTAGCAGAAATAACTTCCAAAACTTAGAAAACACATCAAAGCAATAATGATAAGACGATGGCTCAAACTACGAGGATTTCCAACTTCACATGGTTTTACTTTAACTGGTGCAGCAGATGAACGTCTTCGGACAAGTGGATCAGTTTCCATAATGGTAATACCGGTAGGTTAGGTCTTAAATTTCAGAAAGTTTTGTATTATTTATTCTAAAAAGTAAAAAATACCTTAATATATTGATGTAGACCTTCATACTGTTATAGCTTATGACTATCGCTTTGGAAATCTTTCAGCATTTGTATGCATATCCAGATATAGTATAGGATTTACATATTTATCCTGGGGGAGAGTCGATAAGATGACTTAACCATATGGCGAACCACACCTGTGTATTTCAATAATAAAGTAGGGCCTAGTACATCCAAGATAGCAAAGAATAATGCTTTGCCAAAGATTGTTTGAATGCTATAAGCGACGAACCTATGACAGTGTGACCTAATACAGTGATGTCAATCCCAAAATTTGTGTTCTTCTGAGTTTACACAGAAATAGTAGGGCCTAGGTTAGTACTGTAGTATCTTTTTTTTTGTGCCAAATAAATTCCAATGAAAAAAGGGAATTTTCATATTGATATTTTGGAATCGAATCATTTTATTTTAAAAACACAGTCCTTTGTTTCCATGTTTTTTATTTTAAATTTAAAATGCTAAACACCGATACTCTGGGGCTGTATTTTGTGAAAAAGGAATATTGCTAATGTTGTCGCAGTCAATAGCCCAAACGCCGGTTTCACTTCGTACTACACAAAGGCGCATCTTCCAAATTAGTATTAATGTAACAGTTACAATGCAAAATGATTTAATGATCACTAATATCAATAATTTCAAAAATTATGCGGCTCTCACATATTTCTGACTTGCTGCATGCGGCTTTTATACTAAAAAATGTTGCCCACCCCTTCTCCATATACAGGTACCGGTACTAATTAATTAAGTTTTTAAAACCGTGTTCCCATAACAGCATAAGGTAAAAAATAATACAGCGAAATTTTGGATGAAATATGAAATGCATTTGGTCCAGTAAGTAAAGAGAAAGGTGATTTTTTCATAACGATAGGAAGAAAAATTCTAATGCCAAGAAGAAGAGCAACAATAAGAACAACAACATAATACTGTAATAACAAAACGATCCATAGGTCCACTCCGTGTCTGATGACTACTGAACTACGACAATTCAGAATGACACTCTCGTTCTACTGCAAATCATTAATTTCCTGTTCATCGACTGTTACTAATTCTGTTAATCCGGACGAGTTCTGATTCCGAACCATTTCCTATATTTTCATTTTACACGCAAATCTGATGTAATCAGAGTGATAACGAGAGGAGGTAAATCCGTTGTCGTAGATTGCGCAAAAACAAACTGGTCGGCCCATAAATAAACCAGAACAATTTTCGCATCATCTTTTAGCGGTAGAAACATGTGTCTATTCTTCCAATAATCTTATATAAAAATGAGTGTCTCATGAGAAATACAAATGTGTGTTGTCTCATCCCATGGGACGTTTCCCATTCCATGGATAAGCCTGGTAAGCTAAAATGGAACACAATTAACCCTTTCATTCATGACTTTTTCGCTTACAACAAAGAAATTATTTTTGTATTGAAATGAAGTATTTACAATGCCAATAGCATATAGGATAGGATAGGATTTACATATTTATCCCGGGGGAGAGGAAAGCCGATAAGACGGCTTATCCATATGGCGATCCACGGCCTCTCGTCCGGTTACCATTCCAAGTCGGGTATTGGAATAGTTTTACTGTATTGTTTGTTTTCGGAAGCATGGACTTGGTGGTGGAGGAAGCCGTAACCGACCAGCGGTTACGTGAACCACCCAACGACGGCGAGGAGTCTAGCAATCCTCTCGCACATAACCATCCCTGCATGGGATTCGAACCTGCGAACCCACGCAGAGTAATTAGAGGTGCGGTGGCGAGCGTATTCCTAACGCTTAGCCCGTTGAGCCACACCGCCGCGCCTGTATACTGAAACAAACAAACAGACAAATACCTATTAACAGACTTACCGATCTTAAGATCGATAAGTAACTAGAAATATTGCTCAATAGCATTACCATTTAGCCGCCGAGATTTCGTTTAAGAATTCCTACTTAAAACCCAATATATTTCAGCTCAAACAGATTACGGGATGGGAACGGTTAAATGATTATGGCATTACCGAGCTCAAAGGTGTCGCAGTAAATTTTGTGATATGGGAAAGTAATGTAACTCTATACCAGTGGTTCCCAACCTTTTAAGGCTCCTGACCCACTTCCGGGGGATTTTGCAATAAGAGACGCAAATGAAAACAAATACCTGGCTAGCTAATCTCGACATAGAATGGTTCTATTACTGATCTGATGCACAAACGTGACACTGTCAAATGATGATTAGTGTGTAATTTCTTTTCAGAAAAAATGAAAGATAACCCATTATCAGCTGATTATGTCCCATCAATATTTGAATTTTCGCCACCCCTAGAGAGGAAAAGAATAGTTAGAAAAAGGTGGATTTTGAGGAAAGGCAAAAGGCAGGACCATTTCAACAAATTCTGTTAACTTGTATGCGTTGCAATTTCACTTTGCAGTTGTTAGCATAAACATTTAATGTGTCTTTTGACTAGACCTACCACACTTTAAAAGAAGCCGCCTAAACCCATTTTCATTAGAAGAACCATAACACTGTAAAATACTTGATAGAAATTACCCCTCAAGGCATCATGTCTTTCATTTGAAAGGGCTGTGGAGGCAGATACATTTTTTACTCTAAATTATGGAATGTTTCTTCCAGGTTATTTTATCCTTGCTTATAGATATCTTGATGTTAGTGACTCCAACTGACCCATGTATGCCCTACTGAAAATTCCCACGTGTACCGATAAAATTAAGCAGTTGGAGCCTTCGTTCAGATCTTGAAAACAGTCAAATCTGAGCACGATGGATTCATGTGAAACACGTAATATGCATTTATAAGCAAATATATCCCATCCTGAGCAGCACCGACCCACAACCTCCTGCCTATGGAATCAAAACATTAGACAAATTGGTGTACTGTGCGCATTCACAAATCTTTGCGAATCAAGTGTGCCTTTTGACTAAGAAAAATTTAGCATTGAAATGGTTAACCTCAATATAAACCTGGTATCTGCAGATAAAACCAATTTTTTGTTAAAAATACATTTTTGATGTGCTTTATTTTTTAAATATAATTTATAATTACTGTAAAGTGTGTGATACACTTGGTACCATGGATACCTTTTGCAAATTAGCTTGGAGAACACCCCTCTCAAATAAAATTTTAGACTTTTAATTTTAAGTCATATCTTATGATATTCTTTGAACAAAAGGTTGCGGATAGCCGGCTACCCATCAAAATTTTCTTTCAGATCACAAAGTCGCAATATTACGCCTCGCTAAGTTTCATTTGCAACTGTATTTGGTTGTAGTATCTGTGTCCAACCTTAGACTTAAACCTTCAATACCAGACCCACCGGAACAAATTTTTTTTTTTTGATGGGGCCATATTGAAGTTGCTTTCGTTCAAGCACAATGGACACTTTATCTCCATCAATCCACAGTAATCACAAGTTACTTTGTCATTACGATAAGCATCAATAAATGGATACTAAGGATGTATTATCAAGTCACGCAAGCTGAGGTCTTGTGCCAACTGTGGTTGGTCTTGTTGCAACTTATACTTTGCCATCCATTCATTCCATAACTAACAGTTGAGGTTGCGTGAAACTAACTACCTTTCCTTGCTCTCTATGCGTTTGCGCAGGTGGATCCGTATGCGTATTACGCAAGATGCTGTAGCAAGAGTGTAAATGGCTATTCTATTCAATTCAAGAGTTTTGCTGCACACGAACACAAATATATTTTTGTAACGTTTCGTCTGACCGAGGTCAGACTTCTTCAGACAAGCATTTTACAACTATAACAAGAAACGCAATGCATGCACATAAATATTGGTTTCAAATGTTGTGTCTGTTTGCGATAGAGAGATATAAATAAAATTGGGACAGTGCCAGAACAATAGGAAAGCTGAATTTGATTTAAATCAATAGATACCCCACAGTGTAGTGAGTGACAATTAAAAAGAAATTTAAACAATTTCATGCTGTTATCCCGTAACTAAGTTCATTTAAGGGCCATGGCTGCAATGTAAGGAAATGACTTAAACCGCGAAATAGAAATCAAGTGTAAGTGACAATGAAATGTAATGTTCAAATTAGCATAAATTGTGAATTTATCCATCTCTTAAATTCATCCCTAGAGGTTCTAATGTTTTGAATTTGTTAATAAAATAGGTTTCTTCCGTTTGCCGGTATACTTGATCTCGATATTGTTTTTCTATTCCAATTACCAAAAAGTCGTTGATGGAATGGCCTGATTGATTGAAATGTTTGCCAACTGCAAGATCTTTGTTTTTTTGATTGATGCTTCTAATGTGTTCTGTAATTCTGTATTTTAAATGTCTGCCTGTTTCACCGACGTACTGCATGCCACACTTTCTATAGGTTATCCGGTATATGACATTTTCTGAATTGCACGTTATTCTTTGATTGATGTTCATTTAAGTCTTGTGGTGCTGCTAGTGCTTGTTTTAGTTTCCTCTGAATATATGCAGGTTGAGCATGATTTCCTGTTGCATTTATAGAAAGCTGATTTTACTCCTCTTGGTGATTCCGGTTTCAACTTGGCCCGAACTAGTCTGTCCTGTAATGTTGGGCACTTTCTACATGCAATTTTGGGGGTGCCGGGAAGATGTTTTTCAGTCTTTCGTTGTTGTCTAGTATGTATTGATATTTAGAGAAAATTTTTCCAAAGTTTGGTTGATTAGGATGGTAATTAGTAACGAATGTGACTTTGCAATGACTTTGCAAGATTTTTATTCACTATTTAATACGAAAATAAAACAGGCAGAACAGAATAGTAAAATCATAAAAGGCCTACTATCGTCTTCATAAATAGCTGCATTCCGGCGTGAAAAATGGTATTATTGCTTATATTTGGCTTATAATTGGGACAATTTCTTTACAAACGGCGATGAGAAAGATCAGAGGCGGCGCAAAATCGGAATAAAATGCCGAATTCACTCCATAATAGCTGTATTTAACATATGCCGCTGATATGAACGCATAGTTCTCCCAGGAATATAAAG